GCGTCAAGATAACGGTTTAGATAGGTTATAGCTGGTACCTATATATTGTATGTATCTTATATCATATATATCTGTACTGAATTGAGATGAAAATGTGAAATTATAAATATAATTGCATGTATCATTGAGCACCAGGCCTAGGACTGACACTGTGGTTTGCCAGATCGGGTGATTGTAGCCTTGAACAGCCGCGTGGCAGTAAATGTTTCCACTAAATAAAGTGATTTGCTGATCGAATGTCATTTTTATATTATTCTATGATCTACAATTGCACCGGTGAGCACCAGTATAATTACAGTGAAAACTGTCTAAAGCGGACCCTGAATAATACGGAAAACTACCCAATACGGAATTTGTCCATGGTCCCGGCACGTTCATATAATTTTATATAGACGCTCGACCTCAATAAAACGGAACCTTCATAACGCGGAGACGGAACGATTTCGTAAGTCCCATGCAAGTAAAAGCCTTGCATAAACCGGAAAAATGACACTTGAGTATCAAATCTAAACCAAAAATAAGGTATGAAATATAGATATGCCGATATGAGTATGTATAATGTACATCGTTAAATAGTGATCGACAAAGAAGATAAAATTGTTCTATAGGTACATATTCGTACAATATATTATTATGTACATTGTACATACAATGCATTATCGCATTATTATTATGTATTATTACATCTTAAACGATACGAAATTTTTTCTTTGTAACTGTGAAACAGTCGTACGTACACTTTTAATTTTATTTCATCTCCCGTTCATCGCATTAAATATTAAAATGCCAAAATATAAGTGTCTTTCATTAAATAAAAAATATCAACTGATCGATATACAAAAGGTCATTCAGTAAAACGATTACAAAATATATTTAATTGTGGAAAAACTCAGGTTTACCATACTCTTAAAAATCAAAATAGAATTAAAGAAGAATGGTTAAAAGGTTATTTTAGTTTAAATTTAATGAATTATAAAACCTATATTTTAGTTTAATTTTAATGAATTACATTATTTAAAACAATAATTTGAAAAATATTCTTTGGTATTAATTTGAATTGATTAATCCGAAATTTTTCCGTTTTATTGAATAAAGCGGAAAACTGCTTAAAGCGGAATTTTTTGTTGGTCCCATGCGATTCCGCTTTAGACAGTTTTCACTGTATTAACTGTTTGAATGCGTCCTGGGTGCAATGTGCAATTCTGCGTTACTGCAACAGTGCAATTATTGTGAAAAGTCAAAGTGTTAGAAAATCAACGCTATAGATACGATATATAGTATCTTATATAGTTGTATCAATGTTTCAATAGCCGCGACGCCGTGTGTGGAAATAGGAGATTAATATTTCGACATTACTTATATATATTTATTATATTACTTCATAATGTTATGTTAACATCATAATATTGTTCTTGTGTTATCCATTCAATAACACATTTTCATAGCCGGTACTGATAACCATATTTTAGCTCGAAATCTTATAATTTGCCATATAAAAAGCTTGTTACTTAATTACAAAAACAATGCAGATGAACATGAACTATACGATTTAATATTGACTACATTTAAAGGAGAAAAAAGGGAAAACTTTTTATCAAAAGATTCATATAATCCTAAGCGTAATGCTCATATCATAATTTAATGAGCACGTTACAAATAAAAGCCCAGGGAAATATAGCAAAATGTTTTTAAAAAAATATCAAAAACCGATAGGTGGACGCCCATAAAATACAACTTCAACTTTTTTCTACGAAACCTAAAAACAAATCTAAAATTACTAACGCTGGGCCCAACGAGATCCATGGGAACGTTTCGAAATCTTAACTCAACACATTTAACAATTAAAGAAAAAGAAATAATTTTTTTTAAAACTTCAACTTAAGATAATTTTTAAAAAAAATGTTTGTTTCAATTATTATATTATATAACACCATGATTGTATCTATAATCTTTATGTTATTATATGCATGTGTATTTCTTTAAACTTTATATAGGTCAATACTATCTGTTGACTGTACTTGGTAAATTATGTTAATTGCGTAAATGCATTTCACGAGACAAAGTCGATAAGGAACTAATGTTTGGGACTATCAGCAAACAGCAGCAATACTGCCACCAGGTAAAGTAACCAGCACGAAGACATGGCCTAAGAGCAACTAGAAAAAGACAAAAAGTTATTGCGAAAAATTAAAAAAGTGTAGGTTAGATCATATTCAATCATTTTTGCCAAATCAGCATCTCCTGATGGCCTAGTCATTAATGTTTTAGTCAGAATTAAATATCCAGTATCAGCGAAAAGTATTAGCCCACAAGACGGAATCGCTGCAAAAAAAAAATAGTTGGGGAATAAAACACGGACAGCTGCATCTCAAATGTAATCACAGCTACTATTGCCAAGTGCAAGGATAAATGAGCAATTATTGCACATTTCGAGTGAATTATACCTACAGATATTTTTGCATTTAGCAGCCTAAAGGTTTGTGAATATATTTTATGTGTGGATACTCATATGTTAAATATTTAAATTAATAATTATGTATATTTATATAATTACCTATAAATGTTTGATAAAATAAAACACGACGACAGTTTTTGGATTAACAAAATGAAAATTCAATCATAATAATTTGCATAGTTATTGAAGAAATGAACTAATTATTACAGTCAAACCTCTAAATACAGGACAGTCGGTCGCTGAAATTTTGTCCGCTATTCGAAGGTGTCCATTACCGTAGGTTTCACTGTATAATATAATATTCATAAGGTACTTAATTTGTTTGTGTCATAATAAGGTTGTAAAATATTTTACTATAAAAAATAAATGTAACAAACTAATGGACTTATCGTTTTTATTTTATGTAAATTATTTTTTTTATGGTGTGGGCCAATATAATATATATATGGGCATGGGACGAATATACTATGAATGAATATTTATAGAATATAGAAAAATAGTACCAAATACTATAGGAGTGTTTAAAATATACCATGTCATCGTACATCAAGGGGCCCCTCATCATCTCACCCATGTTTTAATTTAATCATCAGATGCAAATCAAAGCACCTACATGGCTACATATAGATAATTCAATGTTTAATCATTTATTTTTTCTGTATGTAGTACCCTACAATACCTTACGGTGCCCCCTCCCATTTAAAAAAACCTACTATGAGATGTCATAGATAAATAAAGTGATCCGCTAAGTTGTTTGGTATATGCATTATTCAACTTATACAATGTATAAACATTAACATAAACTGTATTCATACAGATTTAATAACAACAAAAAACGTCAAGAAATGAAAAAACTTACCTTCAAATTTATCTCCACCCGATGTGTCACTGTCTGAATTCGAACTACTAGCATAACTTACTACTCTATAACAATTGCTTCAGTATAGGATAGTAAATTTTTATCGTCAGTCGTCAGTAGGAATGTAAAACGTTGCACAGCTAAAAGTAAGAATAGATAGATGTATAATAAGTTACTTAGAGAATATTGAAAATGTCCTATAATAACAAACTGACATAATATATTGATCATTGCTAATTTTATGTTATTAACAATGAATAATTTGAGTCGATTACTTTCAATGAGAAGTTGAACAAAGTTTGCAGAGTTTATTACATCAAGTTCGAGGTTCGATTGTGTTAGTGCTCCATTGCTGGGTATTCCACAATTAAACAAAAAATGAATGGTTATAACTTATAATATTATTTGTACGAACACCGATATAAAATATAATTAGTATGAAAAAAACTTACTCTGCTTTCTGCTTCAGCTTCACAAATAACGAATACATTACGAGTTACGACTGTCGAAAGATTCAATTTATAAATAGCACGTTGGGTACTTGGATTTTACCTAAAATTAATTTTATAATATACTAATATCAGTTATATTATACAGTTATATAATAATTAATTAATGTAACGTTGTGAACCAAATAGATTAAAATGTACAATTAGGTACCATGAACGACGTACAATGAAACAAAAATTATTCAGAAATCAGAATTTCAGAAAATAATAAATACGAGTAATCAGCACGGATATAGATACTATAATAGATTCTGTGCAATAGAACGTATACCACATTTCCACGGCCACAGAAGTGCACTAAAGACTAAACTATACTAGAAAGTAGAGAGCCTAGATAATATTTTTTTTAAAATTAAATTATAATTAAATAATTGTCTATGGTCTCTACTTTGTTATATACTATGCAGAATTAGATTCTATCTTAAACCGTGATCTGTGCTGATCAGTAATGTGGTCAATTCGTGTAAGAATACGAAGACCATACCACCCAATAAATCGAGGAATAAGTTATACCTACTGGCTACTACAACTACTGTCCACGTTTTAAGAGTTTCAAGACAACCGTAAATCGTGCAATCACAGAATCATGAACATTAGAGCACTGAGCAACTCAAAATCTCTAATGTTCATGAGCAAAATAATAATAAACGATTTTCATATATTCTGTGGTTCTACGTCTAACACGCCACCACGGACATAGACACTATATTATATCTGTGCATGGTACTATTCTTGTTGTTCCTTCCTTATTGTTCTATTCTATAATTCAACTTTCAAGTACTGATAATTGATAGTACGGGCACAGAACGATACGGTACGGAACGGTACGGTACGGTTACGTCCATCGAACTAGGAGGGTGAATGTCGCGCGCCTGGTGGCCGTTTTCATGTAGACTAGGGGTTCTAAAAGTTGTATTCATAGAACTCAGCCGCCATGTTCTCTCGGCTGGCAAAAGATTTCATTCATTACATAAAATGAATTAGGACTTACAATAGGTATAGAAATAATAAAATATAATACCACATAATTACATAAATAATATTATTACTATATAGAAATCTGTGGTTCAATAACCACGATTTAAGATAAATATTATCTTAAATCATATTCGATATTAACACAATATCATGATAGTCGGTACTGAATAATGATAACAATGTGGACTACCGTCATTCAACACTGATTAGATAGTACTCACAATTTACAAATATTATGCTAGAGTACTAGACCGACCGACTGATAGTCATAATATGGAATTTTAAATATGAATAGTTAAAAACGTAAGACATTTAAAATTTAAAGATTTCAAATGTTTGTTTAGTTTTAAATCAATAAACAAATTCGCACCTCAATATGGAGTCTAGTTTTAATATTAATGGATCAAACAGGGATAATAATATTTATATTAGTAAGATTGTTCATGAAGTAAGTAGCTTTTATATTTAAAAGTACTTGATTTTTAAATTTTAGTAAATTGTATCATAATTTTATAGCACCCAATATTAAAATCATTTATTGCCGGTTCTGCATCTGGATTATTCTCTACAGTTTTATTTCAACCATTTGATGTTGTTAAAACAGTCTTACAAAACCCTAGAAAGTAACTGAAACTAAACTGTTTGAAAAAAATATGTTTGCATTTTAATTTAACTAACATTGTATTATTAGTGACAATAAATTAGGAATAATCAATGCCACAAAGTCAGTTTGGCAGCAAGAATCGTATTATGGATTTTGGAGAGGACTGTCTCCGGTGAGTACCTACCTAATTATATTTTATATTTTATTAAATGCTTCTATATTTTACTTTGTCTACTTATATTTAAAATACTCTACTCTGTAGAAATTAACCATACAATTGTTGTATTCTTTAATAATTTTTGGTGATTTAATTGAACTATAAAATAAATAATACATAATAATAATACCAAAGTAACAATTTTCAATCAATAACAAACAGTTATAAATTTTGGTAAGTAAAAACTAAATATTTTAGAAATGATCAATTTAAAATCAGGTTTGGAAGCTGCATCGAATATTTGACATCAAATTCAGATCATTAGAGAAAATGCTAATGAAAAATTTCACAAATTATTTGCTATCATTAATTTTTTTAGTAAAAATTATTATAAGACAAAAGTCAACATACCTAGTAGACAAAATTATAATTAAACAATACGCGATCCAGAACATTTTGATAAAATGTATCTTCCCCTTTTGCTTCTATTCTTGCATCATGCAAATATACAATACGACATAATACATTTATTGTTTTTTATTTTTGGATATTTCATGTTAATAATATCTTTTTGGTACATGGTTTATACCTTTACCAAAACTTGTGTCGCGTACTCGCGTGTGATTAAATCCAAGTGATAGTACTTAGTTGTTCTAATTACGGCAATCGGTCAAAACATCCAAATTTAGAAATTTAGATAAACTTTTTTATAGATTATTACAAACATAAAAACATTTCATTATATAGCCAAATGTTATAAGTTAAAATATATAATAATACAATTACGTAAACTACACTATTTTCTAATACAATTAGCAATAGCATATTATTTTAAACAACTCGGAATATCCCTAAATTATATAGATTAGTGGTATATGGATATTTTAACCTAGATTTCTTGTTAATAGGTCACTATTGACTTGTTAGATCTCACATTCTTACCAATTATGCACATTCCCCATCAGAGGGAAAAAAGGGTGAGAAGCGGAAACGCCAATAATTGTGTTTGTCGCCAAATGTCGTATTATTAATAGCGTAATCAATTTTCGTAAAATATTTCGTTTTATTACATTTTATTTCGTATCTACGTCTGTGTTTTATGATAAAACCTTATCCATCACCAAAAGCCTCTTAAAAATTAAAATTATTTAGTTTTTAACTATTTTTATTACCCAAGGTCCTAATTACAACCAATTTACTACCTTCCTAAAAGTTGAAAATCGAAAATTGTTTACTGCTCCAAAAGGCAAAAAAAAATGACAAACTAAAAAAACCGCATACCATTGTAAAATCATGCCGCTCTAAATCTAACACAATTATAAATGTATAAATTATGAATATACATTATACCTACTTAAAATAATAATCATATAGTAGTTATAGCTTTTTATTCTATACACTTTGAATTGCTAAATTTTTATATTTTTAGTCTCTTGTACGCAATATTCCAGGAATTGCCATTCATATATCACTCACACAGCTAATATATTCATATCTAACAAAAAACAATCAAACTTCAATGGTGAAGTCTGGGATAGCTGGATTCAGTGCACGATGTATTACTGTTTCTGTTCTAATGCCTTTCACTGTTTTAAAAACTAGAGTAGAAGTAAGTAAGTAATTGCGTACATATATCCATTTTAATTACATTTTTCGATCATACTTCTTACTTAAGAAGATACCTAACTATGACATTTATTTTCAGAGTGGTCAGTATAGCTATACGACTTTAATCCGTGGCCTATCTGATATTTATAGGTTGGAAGGTTGGAAGGTATTGTGTCGTGGATGGACACCAACTATTTTACGAGATGCTCCATTTTCTGCATTATATTTTATGATTTTTATCAAATTAAAAAATATACCGTTATTAGAAGGCAAGTATTACAAAATTAAATGAAGTGAGAAATTTGTTTTAAATTTTTTTATGTGTATTAAAAATGTTTGAAATAATATTTATCAAACAGTGGCTTCGCGAACTTTATTTTTCTATGAAGCAGCTACCTTTAATAAGTACCCACCTACCAATTTTTCACACATTTTATACGCATGTCTTATATGACTATGTGTGTATAAATTATAAACTAGTATAGCCCAGTGGCGGATTTACGGGAGGGGGCGGTCCATGGGGTCTGCCCCTCCCTAAACGCTGATATATACATTTATATATATTGTTTAATTTATACAATGCACTATACACAGGGTCTAACCCAGTAGGTATACCTTGTATAATATATTTATATTATTTCAAAATTTTAAATAAAAGTAAGTAGAATCTACCGAAATAATAATAATAATATTTTACCATCGTATTTTTATAGTTTTGATAAAATCGTCCGTCGTAACTTGAATTCCGCGATGTTCGGCTGTATTGCGATAGTGAGTTTATTTGCGTATTCTCCCATAATATTACAACGCTATTTCTGTTATTTCTTACCTACTATTAAAATGTATTGATTAGTCGACCGCCGAAAAATGACACTGACACTATTTTTTTATAGAATACTACAATAGGAAATAGGCGATAGCATTTATCTAAGACGAAAAATTATAAGTGAGTACGAATTTATTTTTCAATAAAATGCCGTCTAAAAACAAATCGTCGATCTGAAAATTTTTTTTTAAAATCTATTCAAACGTCAAATATTAATCAAACTTATACCTTAAAAATACCTAAGTATGGTTTAGCAACTTCGTCTTCATCCTTAATTCATAATAGTTATGATATTAGTTTATAGTGCAACAAAAGCCTTTCACAAAATGAAATTTATGACACACTCAATAAATTCTGGACACCGGCTAATCACTTATAAATTTAAGATATCATCAATTACTTCTAGAAAAGACCAAAAAGTAAAAAATCTTAAATTTCAATATTCATGATTTGTGTGATTTTCTTGATTGTCGTATTCAGCAATATAAGATAGGGTCGCCATAAAAGTTCAAGTACTGACCGGGACATTTACAAAAATAATTTGAACCTTTTTTTTTTTTAATATTAAAATTTAGAACGCAGTGTAATGAATATATATATATAATATAGAATAAAACAATAATAGTATTGAATTATGAAAGACATTAAAATTAGAAGATACATTTGATTAACGAAATATTATTTATTTATTCTGAAATATTATATTTTTCTGACTTTTTCCCCTGTTTCAATAGCTCTGGTTTTCCCATAGCGTACGTATGAAATTCGACGTGAAATTCTTGGTTTTAGAATACAAATATAATTTTTATAAAAACATAATTTATTATAATTATTGGTACTAATATTATTTACACATAACCGGGACTTTTGTAGGGTCTAGTGGGACGACCGGGACAGAAGTCATGAACTGGTGACATGTCCCGGTGTACCGGGACGTATGGCAACCCTAATATAAGATGATGCATTTTGCAAATTTCTAGTAGTGTTTTCGAAATCTCATGGACCATGGTGATTGGTGGACACGATTCTTAATTGTTATGTAGTCTTGTGTTAAAAATTTTTTTTATCTGGAAACACGCGGTTGAAATACTTACAAAACACACATCTCTAGAATATCACCAAAAATATTTTCTTGATGCTACTTAATCTAAATATAAATAATAATATTTAGGTCCACATAAAATACATAAATACAATATGATATAATACATGGATTAAAATTCAGTTAAACCTTGTTTTTTTTTTTAATAAAAATAATACATTTGAAATACATATTATTTTTTAGGATTCCACCCAAAAAATTTTTGAAAATCCGCCACTGGCATAGCTGTCTAGGTCTTGGCGACTGGAGTCATTGTGATACCCATCCCCACTTTAACATGAGGCAGCCGTCTCAAAAATAGCTATTCACACCGACACTTCCTGTATATACCATGTTTAGATGCATCATAAATAATGTATTGAGTGTTTCATAAACATGGACAAAAATTATTTAGAAATCAGTATTAAAGCAGTTATTTTACAAAAATATATACATAATATATTAATGTCTTGTATATTGCCCGCCTTTGCTCTAGTGCGAAGCATGAATGAGTGAACGACACATTTCCTGGACTTATAATGCGATTTAATTGCTGAAATGCATTGCTCGACAATAAGATGTAGCATTAATACGATTCACCAAATCTCGTAAACCATTAAAAATCTCAAATCAAAAGGATGTAATAGATAAGAATAAAAATAAAATCAGAGCTGCCATAAAAAAAAAAAAATATTATTCATTTAAACTTCGTCCATGTTTATGAAACACCCAATACAAATGTTAAAATTATAAGACCACTGGCATAGAGTTGAGTAAGAGGAACATGCTCTCCCTCCTTATTTTATATACTTTAAAGTTCGTTGAATGATAAGTAATAACTCTTAAATTCTACAATCAAAAATGACTCAAAAAACTAACTCAATGAATGGCTTCAATAAATATAAACAAATCTCAAAACTAGAAAGTTTTCAAGTTTATTGAAAGTATAAGATATTTGTTATTTTGACAGATTTTTCAACATTTAAACTTAAAACGCTCATTAAAAAAATTGGGTCTATGTGTTTTAGATAATTTTTAATTATTATAATAAAAGCTTATGATTTACCTGGAATACCTTGAATTACATTTTCAATCATTTTTATCAGGAATATATTGTAGTCCGTCCCCTCACAAACATACATATAGAATTTCAAAATTCTGGACCTACCCCTTTATTGTGCTGCTTCTTAAACAAAAATCAAAAATTAATATATAATAATATAAATAATTAATCAAATATTGTAATTGTTTTTTTTTTCAATTAGAATTAGACAACAAACAACCATTTTATATTTTTGGATGTGGTCTTCTAGCTGGAGGATTAGCATCCTGTATAACTCAACCATTTGATGTAATAAAAACTAGTCAGCAAGTATCAAAAGAAAAACTTTTTTTAATTGATGCTATTATTTTAATTAAACAAGTAGGTACATACTATTATTGGAATTAATTACAAAAAATTCAAACTATTTACTTGTTTTCAGAAATATGGAATACTTGGCTATTTTAAAGGACTGTCTCTTCGAGTTTTAAGACGATCTTTAATGGCTGCAATGACTTGGACTGTGTACGAAAAATTATCTTAGATGATATAGATTATAATATTTCTCATTTAAGTTATAATGCGTCTTAAATTTTTACCTATTATCTTGTTGAATAAATATCACAATTCTTTAAAAATAGGTGTCCAATATTATCATATCTTACTTTTTTAGGATTCAATTAAGAAAGCAATACAATAAAGACTAGAAACTTGAACTTTATTCTTTAAAATTGTTTTTAATGTATAATTGCAATATTATTATTAAGATTTAATTAGACTGAAATATTTTAGCAACATAATATATAGAGTGTTCCTTGAAAATTTACCCATTGCAATATATTTTGTGAGATAATAAATATATAATAAATCTGTTTTTTTATTAAAACACAGAGACAAGATTTTTTTCTTTTAAAGAAAATTTATTTTCTTAAAGTTAAAAACTTAATTTTTTTATTTTTAAACAATTAAAGAAATATTTATAGTTAATTTTTCTGAAAATGTTAACCTTTCAACATTTTATTTTCATTAAAACCCGTGTTTTTGTCCTGGCCTCTACGACTAATGTGTATATCCTCAAGGGACACCCTGTATAGAATAGTACATTTTTATTTTAAGTTCTCTAGTCGCCATAGCAGTAGATTTTTAAATTGTATTCATAATTTGGTAGGCTTATTAATTTGTGCACTGTGGTTTTTTTATTATTTATATTATATATGAGGTATTAGTTATATAAATCATTTGTTTTTCATCTAAATGTTGAATTATAAAATAATTTTTGGTAACCAATTATAGTTTTTAATATGTATACCACTGTAACTCATATTAATACTTGAAAAATTGTTTATTCAATAAACTAAATGTATAAAAAAAAACTTAAACTAGTTTTGATTCAACTAATTGTAAAGAAGACAGTGACAATAAAAAACTTTATTCATTTTATAACAAATGTCATAGTATTAAGTACTATTATTCCATCAGATACTGGCGTACTGTTACAGTTAAGTACCACCTTACCCATGGTTGACTATTATAATAATAGTAGTTGATTGTATTAAAGGAAGTGTACGTAGACAATTTATTAGGTATCTTTTTTTTTGATAAATTGTCTTTATCAACTACTCTGTTATGACTTCGATTTAAGGTATCTTACATTGTGGTAGCAATGTTTAAAATAAAATTTCTTGTTTTCATATATAAAAATCAGATGTTTAACACGTATCACCTAAAATTATTAAGGTTTAAAGGTAAATGATAAACATTTGAAAATATTGTCCACACTTCTTTCATTTTTTTATATACCTACTTATTCACTTATTATTTTTTTTTCTTAGAAATCAAAATGTGGGTACATTTTTTTTTGTTGGAAGTTGCTCAGTTTCACTTTGACATAATTTTACTAATTAATAAAAATCAATAAACCAATTTATGTTGTTCTTTTATTCCACTTCGATAATCTCATTTTTTTGATACTCAATAATTTAAGTATTTTACTTGGAAAATTTTTAATTTGGACATTCTCATCGCATATATTTTAGCATAGAGCAATCATTTTACATTACCTAAACAAAGTCAACAATACCTAATTTTGTCATATATATATCTGTGTGGTCTGGGTTGATCATATGTTTTTTTTTATCAATTCATGTTATCGCTTAAAATTTCGAAATATAACAACAAATAACGAAGACTAATTATTAAGGTCTTTCTAATTAAACAGCCAAAAAACTATTTTGAATTTTCTTCGAACAATTTCGACATTGACGTAGGTTAATGGGATTATTTTGTTATAGATTTTCGAAATGTTTTCCAGACATATTTCTGCAGTTGTTGGTATTTCAAGTTTTTGTCTTGGAATATGGATGGATAGAAAATATAGGGAATTAAATGCGTTGCATAGTATACCAGGATTTAAAATATTTGATGCAGTGTACGCTGATGGCCTTGTGGCCAATAATCAGGAACTAATTGTTAATAACGAACAGCGAATATCTCAGGTAAAATATGCATATTTGATTACGTTTAATTATAATTCTTTTTATCTACCATCTAGTATTTAAATTATGTTTTTTTTTTGTTATATTATAAATTTAATTACCTGTGCACATTTTGTATACATATGTATATATTTTAAGATCATGAAATATGGATTTCCGAGTTTGGATAATGTACGTTCGTATAAGAATTTTGTTCTTTCTTATGATCAAAGGAATCGTATACCCCATTGGGTTCTAGAACATCTCACACCAGAAAGCGTACAATATAATCCTAATGTAGATAGATCGTCATGTGAATTTTATGAAGATAACTCATTTCATGAGTTTTTTCGGTTATTTTTATCTTAATATTATCTTATAACATAAAGTATTAATTTAAAAAATATATATATTTTAGAGCTACAAATAAAGATTATAAAAATAGTGGTTTTGACCGTGGGCATTTAGCAGCAGCTGGAAATCATAAATCAAGTCTAGAGTTAATAAAACAAACATTTGTCTTGTCAAATATTGCTCCACAAGTTGGTAAAGGATTCAACCGTTCAGCGTGGAATAATTTAGAAAAATATGTTAGAAAAAAAGCAAAACATAATAAAAATGTTTATATTTGTTCAGGTCCACTTTTCTTGCCTAAGTAAGATAATATTATGTGATTTAAAATTTAAAATAATTATACTAATCTGCCCATAAATAGGTATTAAGTATACACTTAATTAATACAAAAATATTTTTAGAAAAGGAGAGGATGGAAAATTATGGATCAAATATCAAGTAATTGGTGACAACCACGTTGCTGTACCTACTCATTTTTATAAAATTGTTGTGACTGAAAGTACAGAATCTAAATTTTATTTAGAATGTTATTTAATGCCAAATCAAGTGATTCCTGACGACATACCGTTAAAAGACTTTCAAGTAATTTATACATTTAAATTAAATTTAGTGTTTGAAAATAAGTTAATAGCAGTGTTGGGTAATACTCATCTACAAATTTGAATCATATTACGAGGAACTAATGTCTATTGAAGAGTGCATTACAAGTTTATTATTTTGATGTTTTTCAGATGCCTTTGGAAGTAATTGAACGTGCATCAGGATTACAATTTTTTAAGCGTTTGACCCTTGATAAATTTACAAAACTTAATTAATTATTAGAATCAACATCACTTAGTATTTAACACTTAAAATTATGTGTGGCTTAAATATAGTAATTGTATGAATCATAATAAAATTATATTTTTACCTATTTTTCTTCTATGAGTTTCTATCCACTTCAAAAGTTAGATATTAAATTAGCAATGACTTTCCTGTCAAGTGATGCCCAAAATAAATTTTTTGTTTACTACTAAGTACTAATTATAATTTTATACCCTGTTGTAACCTCTAAAATAACTTGAAAACAAAACAACTTTTTTTTGTACAGATCTAGTTGTCGCCCTCCAAGAAAGTATCGTCCCACCACTCAGGTTTAGTTGACGCTTGCGACTTATACCTCTTGTATTTTCAATGTTCCAATCATTTTTTATAAAATGTTTATACTACAAATAAAAAAGGTACGATAACTATAATATATGTTAAGTATATGTGTAAAATTATTGGATATTTCATTTATGTTTGTTGATATCTGTATAGTAAAATTAATGATATAAGATAGGTTAGTATTTGGGGGTATATGGGAGGTACCGAAGGAAGTATATGTCTCCTTTTTGACAGAAGACTAACGTGAGCTAACCACATTAAAGCAAAAAAGAATATCGCATAACCTGATTAAAATTTATCTAAGGCTTGTCCAGGGTGATTTTTCAGGCATGTTTAACCAATTCTATGGTTAAATTATACATATATTCAAATTTTGATTTTTTGAATTTTCAAATACTTTTGAACACCATATTTTTCAATAATTTTTAGATTTGTAAGTGATACACTTGAGGATGATATTATTATTAAGCAGATATTTTTTTGGAAAATTTTGAAGTTTTTAATTCAAAATTTTAGCTAATAGTTTTTGAATTATATAACTTTGTATTAGTTTACTAAGGATAATGTGTCTGTGGTAATGAGTTAAGTAGATATGGATATTTACATAGGCCTTTAAATTAGTTTATACTTTATACATACATGTCTGTCTAGCTATTTACAGACACTTTTAATGTAAATATAATATATATAAATAATTTACCATGAATTACATAAGTTGTAAATATGTTATTTTTTTAAATTAAGATATTCAGTATTTTAGTCTTTTTCCCATGGACGTTTTACTTCTATGACTATAGTAGCACAACCAGTTTCGTTATTATGTCCATCATCTGTAAAATAAAATCGTGTTTTGTAAGTTCCGTAGAAAAATGTTTTTGGAAAATTGGAACGTTGTACAGCGTTTGTTAGGTCATAGCCGTTTGACACGTAAACTCCCTGAAAATAAATAAATAATTTTTATTTTGTATTATAATAAAACCATAAAAGATAATTTATAATTTATACGTATATAATATACTAATTTACAGAGTACCTACACAAAATAATAAAAGTGTAACCCTAAATATTTTTGTGGAAAACCTTAAAATTAAATCATGGGCTTTGTACAAGGTTGTTATGAAAAGGTATATTGTTTTACGAAATTACGTTTTTTATTTTTTAAACAAATATAAATAATGAAAAACACCAAGTTCTTATACCTAATAGAAAAACAAGAACATGATACATGAATATATATTTTAATTTTTTACACCACTGGTTTTATTTAACACTTTTTCATTAATTAAGGGGAATTAAACCCCTTAAAGGCTTAAAAACCTTAATTTTTCATATACATGATATTCACTGATTTTATTGTTTGGATCAAAATAATATTATGTAGTTAATGCAAATATTAAATACAGTACCTATATAAAATATGTACAGTATGCCCAAAAGAGGAATATATTTTGTAATTTTAATACTCGATTTAAAGTCTAATAAAAAAATATGTAAAAATAATTACCGGAGCTAGTGGACAATTAAAATTACGCATTCCAAAAGATTTTAAATATGGACGCCACTCCGTTCCTAAGATATTCTTCAACGAAGAGCAAGCCTTTGAAGTTTTTAACAAGTGAGCATTATCTTTCCAGCCGCCAATCGAGTCTTTAATAGCCATATTCATATGCAACTAAATAAAATAATCGATCTTAATAAAATGGTAATAATAACTTCTTAACACGATTGAGGTTTTGAATTCACAAGTCACAATATCAATACATAATCAATATATAATTTTGAAAACCAACGATTTTTTTCTACTGTAAAATGTGTCAAGGTACACATATCTATACACACAAAAAAAACATACACACACACACTGATTACCTATTTTTTTTTAACTTACTGTCAAATCGTCCCTCATTGGTCTCATTAGTGTGATGTTTCCTCTTAATTCAGCTGTGTTACTAGATGTTTTACTCAGATAAAAATTATTTTGCAAACCACCATCTACCATGTTCTTACATTTTACGATAGCTTTGAAGTTTACTCTATATTTACCCTAGAAACATAGTTAAGTATTTATTATTTTTTTAAAATTACATGATAGCAATAGTATTGTGTTTATACTATAAAATATATAATATTATAGTACCTATAATTGTAATTAAGGTCCATACAGGAATTTTCAAGTGGGAGTCTTATATTAAAAAATATATCCCCGAGCGTATTTAATAAAAAATAATCATACGTAGATAGCTAAATATAGGTAAAGAAATATAAATCAAATATAAGTTCAGTTTAATTATCCCAGGACATATCGAACACATGTAAATTGTGTCGTGGCTCAATTCTCACAGATCTCTTTATGTGTATCACTTTAACTCATGAAAATACATTATTTTCAATTTATCTTTCACCACACTTAAATTTAAATCACTACAAAATTGTGGTTCTACGAACGCGTTCAGACGCTCAATGATCTGCCCCTTGCCCAGACACGCACTGAGAATTTTTATTTGTTAGTTGTTGCTGTTGTTGGTGAGGGGGGGGGGTAGGCTTACAAATTTTCCTACTTTTCTTACACATAAGTAAACAATTCTAAAAAAAAATTCAACGAAATAATCGATCGGCGATTGACACAAACCTTATATCATATTATGTATCAAGGTACAACTATATTAATGAGTAAATCTAACAGAATAATCGAATCTGAAAAAAAAACATGATTCATGATTCATCATCATTATAATATATTTTTGACAACAGAATGTGGTATAATAGTAATTAATGAATAATCTTATACATTTTCTTCTTTTTTTGTGGGGGGGGGGGGGGAGAGGCTCAGCTCCAAAGTCGAGACACCTGGGTGGACAATTGGTCCCTGCTAAATTTGACACCGTTTTTTGTAGCACCACAATTGTACTGTTTCTGTTAAAAATGTTACAGTTAGTGTCTTCGCAAAGATCACGACAAAAAAACCACTGTACCACATTAAATAAATACTGTGTATGATTTGAGTAAATAAAATCCATCACTCAACAGTCAACACCATGAAATCCCATCAATGAATGGTTTCTTCGATCAAAATTGATTCAAGATTCCTGACTACCTACTTGGCTACTTATTATAATTTATCGCTTGTGTTTATTTTACAATAAAATTACTAGCCTCGACGAAGAATCCATCACAAACATAATTTTATTTATGAAAGACAGTTGAATTTAAATTATTCAAGAACATATTATTGGCATGTAAAAAAACAGGTCAATGGTCACGCTATCGAGGCTTTTTCTTTAATAAAATAAATAAAATAAAATTACTGCTTATAGATTTAGTGTACCTACAATAATGAATAACAACAGTTAATATCATTACTTAATACTTGAGTCAAATTAAATTTAATAATAATAAAAAATCAATACAATAAATCAGAACTTACTACGGGTAGGTTTGGAAAAAACGTATTACCATTCATTTCAGAACTGACAACAAATACAAATTTAGTAATAACAATATACAAATTTAAATGTTTCATTATTTTTTTTTTTTCCAAATTTGGTTTACGTAGGTTTTAAAAATTACTATTATTGATTAGCTATACCAAGTATATTATTTGTATAAAATTTGAAAAGTTAGTTTGAAGCTATTGAAACGAAAGCATGTAATGATGTTTTTATATAGTATTGATTTGTTAATAAATTATTTGGTATGCACCTTGGTAGTTACTAGTTTGTACTATATAATAAACTTGAACAATGCTGTATTGTTACATGATCAAATTATTCAAATTCAAAATCATTATTATTTTGTATATTTCTACATTGCACAGTTGCACTTTTTTATTGTTTTGGTTTTTCAATTCTAAGCACCATAACAGTATAATATAACAAATAGTATTAGGTAGGTATACCTAGCCGAATTACAATTAATGATATTAAACAAAATTACCTATAATTGATATGATCAGTATTTTTATGTTCAAGGATGATTTTTGTATTATTTTCATTGAGGCTTTTAACAAATTATTCAGACATAGATATTTTACAAGACTAATTGATACACACCGTATTAAATCCATTGTCCATTGATATTAAACTAATATTCAATATTTTTATCTTAGATGATAAAATAATAATATGTTATATTGTTATACAATTATATGTAAACACGCGCGTATAATTGTATAAATGAATAATAAAAATAAACAATAACGCTATGACCATTGATTACCTATATTATATATTATTTACGGTGACCTACAGCACATCCGAATTTTGGCAGAATAATTATATATATGTACAATGGCCTCGGCGCTTATATAAATATATATACCTATACATAATGATATTTGGAATGTTTCTATTTTGTTAGTATTTTCGCACAACACCGCATAGTTGGATGTTATAAGACCTGGTTTTAGCAGGGTTTTGTTTAGTGAACTCCCTGAAAATAAATAAATAGTTTTTATTTTGTAATATACTATTATATAGAATATACCTAAACTAAACAAAACATTAACAATTTAACCCTATCGCAGATTGTTTTTTCGAAGGAGTGCTGTCCTAAATAGCTAAAAGTGGGTAAAGACTTATACGTCTGGAGTTTAACAGGAGGCATTTTTTTGTATAATATGTACCTCCCGGTGCCGGGATAGTCGAATTGCACTTATTACCTACAAATGAATGGTCGAATTGCACTTGGATTGAAAAAATGTAATGGTCGAACTGCACTCGTTCAAAAACAAAAATTAAAATGGAAAACCCGTTAAAAATATTGTGAATCGAAAAGAACGCTACGGTGTACACTGTACTTATTTAATAGCATTATATATTAGTTCGTGCCATTTAGATAACGCATATAAGATTAATACTTTTATTGTATACCGTATGGCGTGAACTATGTGTTTATGTAGACCTATGCAAAATACAATTAGTACACACTTTTACGTCGCTGTGTAAATATGAACAGTTTAAAAATTATTAAAAGTGAACGGGGCCGTGACTTAATCGTGTATCAAAATTATACATTTTAAAAAGAAAAACATGTAAATGATGGTGTTAGATGGCGTTGTACCCATCGTGGTTGTCTTTCAAAACTATATCTAGATGAATTTTCTAAAGTAATTTTTCGGTCTGAATTGATACATATTCATGAAGAACCACTTAATTTACCTCGGAGAATGATTTCAAATTCAGCAAAGAAACAAGCCCTTCAAATGCATGATAATTTTATTAAAATACTTTTTTGAGCCCAAGTGCAGTTCGATCATACCCCCCGGTGCGACCAGGTGAGTCGTAAATCAGCCTACTCGTTGTCTAATGTCAAACTTAAATATCAAACACTGCAGGTAAAATAGTTGATTGAATAATTGCATTTTATAGAAAAACTGCAATAACTATACCTAGTTTGAGCCAAAAGTTGATGTTTGAATACTTGGGTTGTATAAATCCGTAATTCTATATAATTGCCATTTAAATTATTTTGTATAAGCGTCGCAGGCTGGCTAACATTTTTTTTACTATAATTTATAAACCGTGCAGCATACACATAGTAATATTATATTGATATATTATATATAAATTATATTCACAAAAATAACATGCATAATTATAAAATCGATATATTTATCGCTCCACTCAGAATCTAAAAGTTATGCCTCGAGTTTTAATAAAATGTTATAATAATGAAAGACCAGTCAAACATTTTCCGAATGCTATTGCCAATGTTATCCGTGTATATTATTTTACGTTTTGCTGAACTTTTGTACTTTATTGAGTGTTTTGTTTTATTTAATACAAATTTAAATTGTTACACGTTTTATGCATTATGCTGTTACGTGATATGTTATGGTAGGTGACTTATACTTTAGTTACTAACTATCAAGACGTTGTAAGTATATGCACTCTCATATGATTTTGGCAATTTATTGTTTTGTTCATATAAAGCGTGAACATGTTACCATTAATGTGCATCGTCAAAAGTAATGATAAATTAAATTATTTATTAGGAGTTCTATTTAAGACTATAAGTTATTATTACGTTGTACTTACTTTTGTTGTATACACATACTCGTATTTTATCATTTCACACAAGAGTCGAGCAACAACATTTTTCAAAGTGTATAAGTTACAGTAAGACTTCGGAAGACGGAAACCCCGGTAACACTGACAATTTCTTTGGTCCTGATTTAAAAACATAATGAATGTGAACATCCACAATTCAGAAACTCCGTTGGGCCGGTGTCATACTTGCGGAATATCCGCAGCGGACGTTCCACAGCGGAATTTTCGCAGTATCGAAATTCATATGTTTAAATTTATACTACTGGACATATAACAGTGGAATTTTCTTAAAACCGCTACCATTCGTGGGAATTCCTCCTCGGAACGTCCGCTGCTGATATTCCGCAAGTATGACACCGGCCTAGAATACAATTATTTGCGCTGGTAACAGTTAAGGTCCTAACTCCTAAGACCCCAGACATTTGAGAGCCGTCCTTCACCAAGACGATGTCGGTTCATTATACCCTTGGCTAACGGCTAAATTTTTACTCATGTAGACCGGTCAAAACTTTGCCCCCCTTTCTCTATTGAAAACTGAAATTACGCCACTGAGTCTCAGAGAACTCTGAGCATAAAGTCTATGGTGGAACACACCATGGTTGTATTTAGTCCAAATAGGAGTCCGTGATTCACGTACAGTCGTACAGAATAAATATGAGTCTATGACTATTATGTCATTGTGTGGTTCATGTTCGTACCAGCTCAACAGTTTCAACTGCACCTATGCACGCTTTAATTAAGTTACATTATTCGTGTTAAAATCGGCTCAATAACAGTTCCTTTAGTTTATATACTTCTTCAAAATAAAACAAAACAAACTAGTATCAAAATGCTTTCTGTTATTTGTGAATAATGTCTAAATTGTGAAGTGGTACAAATAAAAATAGACTTCGAGAAAGCTGTCGTTCTCGCAATTAAAAAATACTACCAAAAGTAAAAATTCACTGTTGCTATTTTCACCTATATGTCAATCAGTATGGCGCAAAATCCAAGAGTGTGGGCTAATCAAAAAATATAAAAAGAAGACAAACAATTTCAACGAGATGTCGCAATGATAATTGGTCAGTGGTATCGTATTTTTACCTGTCAATTATTTCAAAAAAGGTATGTATATTATCAGTGGTCAAAGTGAGGGGGGGGGGGGTGGGAATCGGTGGGATGGCATCCCTCCACTTTTCATAATTCATATTGTCCATCCCTATTCCCTACACTTATTTTGTACGACTGTTTAAGCAATATATGAGAATTATATAAATTATGAAAGGCATCCCTCCACTTATTTTGAGCCCCTTCGACCACCGTATATTATGAGTAATAACTATTTTTGTTCATAAATAGGTAGATGCATATTGTGGTTGTGTTTTAGGTAGGTATAGCAATTTTATACGAACAATTTCATAACCAAGATGTTGAACAAATTCTTACGTTCTTTGATACAACTTACGTTAACGGTCGTTATGGAAATAAAAAAAAACATAGAATTAAAATAGGTACATACTTATAATACCTCCGTTATTTCCACCTTTCATATTATGGTGTTCTGACACGCGGAACGTGTTTGGCTTAACTAAAGCTGGTAGCACAGACAATATTTCGGAAGGATATGGAATAATAAATTTGCAACACTAGTGCGAATTAATCGTCCAAATATTTGACATTTTATTGAAGCTTTACAGATGAGCAACTCAAATTCTTCAATAAAAACCTTAAATTATAGAGTAGGAACTTTTCGTAATAATGTATAGGTAGGTAAAGACGAAAGGCTAAAAGAGGTACGCAAAAGTTTTTCGAATGAAGATATTTTAATTTTTTTAATTTTCGTATGCTATAGGTATAACCAGAATAAAAGATATTATTTACCCTTTTTGACGTGTATTATTTAATTTTGTATTTTAATATCAATGATATTATGACGACATGACGTTATATCTTACCAGAATAAAAAATATTAGTTAAGTTTTTTTTGCCTTTATTATTTAATTATATCACATTCATATAAGTATTTATAATTTGTAAATTGTATTTGTTTAGTGTTTAATGTTTTTAATATTTATATTTTTTGTGAGTTTTGTATTGGCATTTGGCAAATAGTAATAGTGTTTTTATGAAGTATTATTGAATTATATTTATACATTAATTGAATAAAATTATATTGAGCAAATTTATTTGCATTGTATATTATTATAATTGTTTAATATTTTTATTTTTGGTCCGGGGGGAATTTGCCTCCGTTCAGCGGGGAAACGTAAAACGTTCTGGGGGGGGGGGGACGCCCTTGGGCCTAGATTCATTAGTCACAGATATTGGTATTTGGGACCAGCTGCTCACGACGATAAATTGATAAATATTGTTGTCTGTTAACAGTTTCATGGGATATAGACTATGACAAAGGCAGAGGTGCAACCGGGGAGGGGGTTCGGGGCTTAAAACATCCTCGAAATTTTGTGTTTTCGCTTCCAGCATGTTACCTTATGTGAAATGTGAATATATTATAATATATTGTTACAATGTAAACCCCCCTGCCGGGAAATTCTTTCCAAGTTGCGCCACTGACGGTAATAATAATAACGTAACGATAAACAATAATATTATCAAAATCGACAATGTAATAAACATATCCACCACGGCTATAGATACTATGGTTGCACGACGATGAAAATTTTTTGACCGTGCAATGTTCTTATCAAAAACCTCGTGACTGCTAGCGCTTTCAGCGGAACTTGTAGTCTACCTAATCAATCAACTCGGTTCACCTTCACTTCACTTGAATGAGTTGAATTACTAATCTCAATTCTCAATTCTTTTAACGATTCTCAATTACCTATAATATACCTATATATACCTATAATTATGGCTATATAGTATATAGTTCCACCGAGGCACTAAATCATATTAAATCATAGCTCTCGCAAAGTTTCATATGAATATCATTATACTATAAGATACAATATGCATAAGTCATTTTTCGTAGAATTGTAAATTAATTTGTGTCAATTCTGAATTATTTGAAATTAACTGTGGAACACTAGTCAAAGTCATGTGAGTTGCCGATTTGGCTCACTCTGATTTAACTCATTCAGCTCATCTTTGATATTCAACTCTTTGAATCAAATAGTTCATGAACTACACACCTCTATGCAAATTGCAACGTACTCTGGAATTGTGCACTGGAACTGTGCAGTGTGCTGGGTGCGGGTGCCCACACATACTACATTGTACATAGTACATAATATGACTTATAGCAGGACACAGAGATTATAAAGTTATTGATTTTGTGATTAGTAATAACAGTTAATAGGTAGGTAATTATTAATATTTTGTATTTAATAAAACAACTATTATTATACACCTATATAATATTTAATAGTAATTAGACTGCATTAAATATTAATATTCACACAAAATAGGTTAAATGTAATCAAATAAATGTATATTATAATAGGTACATAATATATAAATATATTTATGTATGAACCAACTTTTATTTGAAAAAAAACCCGGGATTTGAAAAATAATATGACAACTTAATGGTACACCACAAATTCCGCTAAAAGCGCTAGTAATCTAGAGGTTTTTGATAAGAACATATAACGCCGTTTTCTTCTGCAACACGCTATATGCCGTCGCGCAACCATTCATATCTATAGCCGTGATATCCACTCACTGTGTTATCCACGGTTAAAGATATCTTTAATATTATTTTGGTTTTGTCTGATAGTAGTATTCTTATCATAGACCAAGTTCTTACTCTATGATTCTTATTTCTAGTTTCGTTGCATTTATTTGATACGCAACAGTTTACATATTTTGTATTGCATTACATCAATAATTACAACATTGTGGATTTACGGTATTCGGTGTATACTTCGAAAGAAATGATCAACAATGATAAAAGGTAGGAAATATTAACTTTTGTACAGGTTTTAATTGATTTATTGTCGATTCTCGCGAATAAATGTCAATAATAATATATTTACAATATATGTTACAGAAAATACTGAAGCTATAAAACCAACTGAAAAAGTTGATGACTTTTTGCTGTCACTGTTTAAGGCACTGGACAGGCAGAAATCTAAAGATGATCGAAAAATAGTGGAAAAAAAAGTAATCATTTTTTTATAATAATTGTATTTTGTTCTTTTATATAACATAATCAATTGACAATTACTAAAAAAATACAAACATAACAATACTATATATTGCTTTTTAAATTAAAATATTGATTGTTCATCCAGATTTAAACTAAAAATTAAAATGAATTATTTTTTACTAAAAATATTATTTTATCTAAAAACCTACTTTAATACAACTTGAGTTATTTATATCATGTGATAATTTTACTTGAAGCATAGTTGTTTGGACAATTATAACAGGAGATTCATATTCTGCACCAGAACCTATTTTTAATCTATGGCCACCAATTATAAAACATTGGACTGTAAACAATCTCTTAATAACTAAATATTTTTTGTTTGTGTATTAGATTATCCATTAGGTTTTAAGTAAAATATTTATTTTATTTAGATTATTTTACCCTACAACATTATCATACTTTTCAAAACAAATTAATTCTATAAAATTATTCTTATTGTGAGTCTCAATGTCTAACATAAAATAAAGAAAGTGTAGATATAAGCTGGTTTTGGTTAGGAAAAATTAGAAAACAGTCTGTTGTTATACTATATATATCCAAAACTAAAGTCTGTGCTTGCCCTTGATTTTTAGCAAATATTTAAAAATAGCTCTAAAAACTTAAATGTATATTGTATATGTAGTACTTTAGGATTTGAATAATTACAAACATACTGCAATTGTTTTATGTTTGTTTATACAACTAATATATTTGAAAATAAATTTTAACTAGTCTTAATGTTGGATTCTAAAAGTATTATCATATTATATTAAAATATATTTAAACAATTCAATGTAATTATCATGATTGGCTTTCTTGTAATCTTGTCGTATGCATCTACTGAGTCGACGGTGGCGACAATTAAACTTTATTGTAATCAAAGTTGTTAAATATATTAATTGTTATTTAATTGTTCAGTCAGAGCCCAGAAGAAGATACTTTAATACATTTAAAAAAAAATGGACTTCTTCAAATTGATATCTTCTTGTGGATACTATGGCTCTCAACAAAAAATATACCCACTTGGAAAGCTTATGAGATTTTAAACATTGTATAGATAAAAAATAATTCATCGTATGTCACCATCTTTGCTGCCGTCATAATTAGCAGTAACTACAAAATAATTTGTAAATTTTATGATTTTGACAAATGTTGTCAAAGTATGAACTTCTAATGCTTCTAAAAAAAAAATCGTACCTTTGCATGTTTAATATTTTTGAACTACTATTACAACAACTTTTGAGGAATCTTGTATTAAATATTCAAGTTTTTTAGATGAGTTAACAATTTATAAATGTATTAGTATTTTAATAAAATATAAAATACACTTGGTAAACCGCATATGACCTGCCGGAACGTGGGGTAGACCGCATACAACAAGAATACTTTATAATTTTCTATAAAGGTGGTTGTTCGGAGATTGCCTCCGACTATGACTGAAGAAAGATTTCTCAATGAAGTGTCTCCTCTGCCTGAATTCAATTACATGTATTTTATACCCGGTGATCCACATGCAGCACCATTCCATCATTCAAGGGTGTATATAAATTTTCTTAAAGAAGACGATATGTATATGTTTACTGACAAATTTGATGGCTACGTATTTGTTGACGACACTGGTAATAAATGCTTTTTTTATTATGAGTGATGAAATTAACTTTTAATACTTTTGTAGGTGACGAGTATCCAGCTACTGTTGAACTAGCACCTTACCAGAGGATACCAAAAAAAAAATTAGATAGAGATGCAAATTGGGGTAAGATACACGAGAACCCAGTGTTTTTAGAGTTTAAACGTAATTTTGAACAGAAGACTATCGATACCACTTTAAAAACTACACAACACTTTTTTGAATCTGTTGAAGGTAAAGTAAAACGATTATTTTATGTTTTTATATGTTTATTGAATAATGTATTATATTTGTTAATTTTGAGAATAATTTTACTTTCTTAGATAAATCTCAAGAACAGGACTTGAGTACACCATTACTTGAATATTTAGCAAAGCAGAATGATAGGCAACGTGTACGAGTAAATCAAAAGGATGAACGTCGTAAAAAAGTATTTATTAGAAAACAGGAAAAAGAAGAAGTTTGGAGAAACAAAAAAGTGGAAAAAGAAATTTTCATTAAACCCAAACCAATCACCAAAAGCAACATAATCAGTAAAAGAGTAATTGATGAAAAACCAGTGAAAGATACAATCCAAAAGTATGTAGATTGAATTTTTAAGTCAAATTATTTTTTTTATTGGATAAAAACAGTGGCATCAAATTTATACTTAAGGAGTGACATTAAATGATAATTCAAATCTTGTATCAAGTTGAACGAAAAAAAAAATTATTCTCTGTTTTCTGAATGCTAAGTGTAAAATACCCTCTAAAATATTTAGTGTTCAATGGCAGAATATAACTGTTGATACTTCTGCACTATATTCTGTCTCAAAAGAGAATAACCAGTCATTTGACCTATTTTTGTCAGTTCTGCAGATCTCCCATCAACAATGCCCGGTTAGCATGATCCATGGTTCTCAACTCGCTAATCGGATTAAAAAATGATTGTTCTTTTTTGAGACGAGAGTATAGTAGGCATTTCCATTCATTAACTTGTACACCATACTATCATATTTAAACTCGATGGTGGTCCTGGTAAATAACTAAAAAATGTTAAAACTAACAAATGCAAAATTGTATGTCAACGGGGGATTTGAAAATGCAATAAAATAATACCTAGGGAAAACTCTTAAAACAAATATACATTATTATGTATTTATTATATAATTGCCAAATTTTCAAATTGTATTATATACTTAATAGTTAATATTAATCATCAAATATACTCTAGATTTAAATATCACTTTTAGTGGTTGGTTTATTAAACTGGTCACCTAAGTTTGTTCATACTCCATCCTCATGAGTCATGGGTTATCACTTACCTATAGAACTTTTTATTTTGTGGCTCAAACATTATTAAACAAATTAATGAATAAAAGTCGTACAAATAACCACAAGGACTGCACTCCCCGATGTCTATGCATCTAACTTTACCTTTGTTTAAAATATGAATGATGAATTTATTGTTAGTTAAAAAACTTTTGCCAAGTCAGAGATGTAATATTATTAATTTTCTTGATTATTAATTTTTAAAATTGTATTAACTGTAGGTAATATTTTGGTATTTTATTATAAAATGATTGAACCGAAATTGTACTTTAAGGAAATTATTAATTGCAAATTAATTTTTAAGAAGTTATTAAACTATAGTAGAATAGGAATACAGTAGGTTGAATATAACTAGTTTGAATTTAAGAAGCATTAAAGCCATTTTGCTTGTTTTATTAATTAAATACTATTTAAAAAATTGTTAACAAATAGTGTATTTAATATGAATATTTTTTGAAATCACACTCAAGCGGTATAACAATTTGAATCCAGAAAAACATTAGTGTGCACAGCCAAACAAAAAAAAAAATTTCATCTTTAATTAGTGAGATAGATTTCCGAAACTGGAGAGTGGACTTTGTTGTTTGGGCTCTTGAGAAATTCACATTGACTAGGAGAAGTTTAGTGAAGATTTTCAGAACTTTATCTTTAATAGTTACTTCACAACAGAACTTTAAAAAACATGAAAACAAATCTTATTGGGTGTTTTTTGTATGTTTTTCAGTTTTAAAGCTTTGTAGTGAATTACTGAATTAACAAATCCGTTTTCCAGTTTCGGAAATCTACTCTACTAAATGAAAATCTAGCTAAAAATAACTTTTTTAACTCTGAAAAATTAAACAATTGTTTTTAAAAAAATTTTATTTCATATTTTGTATTTACTTGATAATCCCTTGAGCTATATAATTATTTTATTAGAGCTATCATCAACCAACTTTCTAACTATTATAGTTTAGGAGAAAAGTTAAAAAATAGATATTTTGGAACTGTTCATGCCAACGTTTTTGTGGATTCAAATTGTTATACCGCTCAGGTGTGATATCGGATCCCTCTCATTAATATTTTATATTAAAGCTAGCTTAACCCACCTGCTCATTATTACTGAGTTAAATTTTTATTATTTTCCTATTTAATACAAATTCTTGAAGTTTTCAAAATTCATGCTTTTCATTTCAATCACAATACTTGATCAAAAATCAAGAAAGTAATATGTAGTTAATCTTGGGAAAATACAATGTTTAAAATATAATATTTATATTTTATTATAACAAGATTATATTATTACTCTATTAATTGATATTATTTGTTTTTTCTAGAAAAATTATTAAAAGTCATAAAGATGATATAGGATTAACTGTTCAAAAAAACAAATACTGTGATGAAAGTCATAAAGTTAAGAGTGAAGATACAACTAAAGTCGATGAAGTAAAAAAAATAGAGATTAAAATTAAATCGGCCAAGCTGAATAGTTCACACAAATGTTTTGATAATGATTTAAAAGAAGATATTACCTCTAAACCCGAAAACATTAATATAGATATGCCCAAAGAAGATAATGATATTAAAAAGAAATCAGAAACATTGAAACCAGGACATTCAGAAAATAAAACTAGTGTATCATCAAAACATAGTAAATGGCATGATGATAAGGAAACAGTTGAAAGTGGTGAAACTGAGAACTATAAAAAACATCGATCTGATACAGATAAAAGGTTTGCTTACAATAAACGAGTAGATAATCGCCGTCAAGAATCCAAGACTGATCGTCGTATTAGAAATAAGGATCGCCCAGCTATAGAAATTTATAGGCCAGGCATGGGCAGATTGAGTAAGTTAAAAGCAGAGAATGATAGTATTGAACCAGAAGCTCAAAAGTAACAGTTCAAAATTGAAATTATACTTAACAAAAAAATAATGTACTAGTATTTGATTTTTAAGTTATTTTTCATATAACTAAATTTTGTAACATACATTTTTTAGTAATATTAAACATTTATGAATCATGGTAAATCATGTTCGGTTTGTTTTATTAACTAATGAATAACGAGTATTATATTTAGAAGTTATGGAACAAGAGATGGTGCATAAGTTTTAATTATAATATTAATTTCACATAGTGATGAAGAAAAATTGATTACATACTTATTATGAATAAGTAGTTTTAATTGTACAACAATATTTTGTATTTACTCAAATCTAAATTTGTAGGTTGTCCATTATGGTTTCATCTTTCCTTTTTGTGTCTAGTTTGCATCATATTATGATATCAATTTATATTAAATTAAATTTTGTGATTAGGTTTCCATCTATTGAGATTTGGATATGTTGTTTCCTGTTATAGGCTGTACAAATTGTATTTAATAATTTTGGTTTAATCTCAAAGCATAATACAATAGTAATAATAATACATAAGTGAATATAATATTATCCTTAATCCTACTGTATCTAACTAATGTAATTAAGTAGGTTCTAATTGTATAGTATATAGTGATCTATCATTTTACTACAACTTGTTGATTAATTTGCTGTTGGCACATTCATTTTGAACAAATCAATAGATGATATTGGAGGATATTACTGTTTTAATTTTTTATATACTAATACATTTGCTACCGGAGTGATTGAAATATTTGCTATAATGTAAAAATGCATGCTAATTAGCTCAGTAAGAAAAAACTGACAAAGCTGAATATTTTTTTTAAAAAGAGACATGCCATAGGTACAGTATAACAAATTAAAAAAAAAACAGATAAATATATGATTTGTTGGACCAAAAATAAGTTGTATATTATAGGGTGATGCATATTTAATTAAAATTATTATTAATTATTCTAGGTTTTAATTTATAGAAATTTAAATATTATGGAATGGAATTCTCGTTGGATGGTAGCTCAGAACCCGGGGTTGGAAATAAAGCACCTAAAAGGGAAATATAAATTAAAGTGTACCTGTTTTCGCAAATGACAAAATGAAGAAGTGATAAATTCTGACAAAGGAATTATAAAATATTTATTTTACGTATATTTGGAAAAAAAATCAAGTGTGAAGCTGTGTCTAATCTGCAGTGAGTATTTAAATATTTTATGAATGTCGTATTTTAATATGTATTCTAACTATGAATTAAGATCTATGTCAATTCGTGATTCAAACAAATAAACCTTAATATTATTACTCAATAACTGTACTTAAGTGCGCTTCAAAATATTAAACTTACAACATGGAACTATTAACTATTGAGTTCAATTAATGGCGTTGTGAATTTCATAAGTACACAACTAAATAGATTTCTTTCTTTTTAGAGTTTGCACTTGGCATTATGTAGCTATGCTAATGTACATTAAAATCAAGGTGAATTTATGAACAATTCAATGTGAATTTATAATCATATACTTTTGAATTTATTTAAAAGCTTATGGTTAAAATAGACCAATTGGATACGTACAAATGATTATTAATTTTATCAGTGATAGTCGGAGATGTAAGCGTGATAACTGATAAGAATTCTGTTTTTTTTTCTGTAGACTGTAGTTCACCTGCTGTCAGGCTACTGGTAAACGGTAATTCACCGATTCTGTTATTTCAAAATCCTCAAAATTCTGAGACATATAATTCCTCACTGTTTGCAGTAAATATTTAATAAAGTTCTAATTAATTTGAACTTGAAATAATCTTTTAAAAAGAGAAATGTCAAAAAAATTACCATCTCCTGTTTACACGTTGAAATGTGAAAAATATACTCCGTACTGCATGAAATTTTATTTAGATGGTGATGTTCTCTATGTCGGCACTCTAAGCGGAGAAATACTTGTCTGGAACATGGAGGTAAGAATTTTGGTATTCAAATCTTTCTGTTTAATAGACATATTTTTGAGATTTTATTAAGAGTTTCAATAATAATAATAATATTTATTTATCATTAAATAAAATATTATACAAAATGAAAATAACAGAAAGTTAAAATGATACCACTCCAATAAGCATAGTTTGTGTTTGGAGTGAGTACAATTAAAATATATATTTTTCGTTGAAACCTTTTCTAAAATATATCCATTTTAATTTGTGTTATAAGACATACAGTTATTATATGGTATGTTCATATTTTTGTTTTTATGTTTTCAGTCTAACCGTTTGAAAAATGAAATTAAAGCTGGTACAGTGTGTATAATGACTCTTGAGGTGTTGACCAGACAAAATCAATTAGTGTCGCAAAACAAAGTTGGCGAAATAAAATGTTGGCTGATAGATGGTGTAGAACTCAAGCTCCATCATACACTATCAACCCAAATAATTGGCTTTTGTAAATTGGCCTTGTACAAAACAAACATGTTATTGTGCAAAGGAGAAAAGTCTACAATGTGTTGTTACTCCACCGACACTTATGATAAAATAACTGATTTTAATCCACACCAAGACGACAGTTTGGGAGATTTGATGGTTGTAAAATCAATTGGTAATTATGTGTTTTGTGGTTATGAAGCAAATACGGTTGTTGTATGGCAGGAAGATCATATTGTTAATCAGTATAGCTTTCCTGAACTTGAATGTTTGATGGCTCTGGATGTGGATCATAAAGTGACCAAAGGTATTTGTGCTGGTAGTTCAAATGTGATAAACACATTTTATATTACAGAGGGTAATCTAAGTTTGGATAGAAACATTAAGATTACAAATCCCGGGGTTAATGTTTTGCTGCTAAGACCTGACGATAAAATAGTCGCTGCTGCTTGCTGGGATCTAACTGTAAGACTATTTTCTTGGAAGACCATGAAACTGTTAGCTGTTTTGGATTCCCATTCCACTGGAGTCATGAATATTGTGTATTCTGAATTGTCAGTAACATTTTGGAAAGCCAGGTACATGCTGGCTGTCGCCAATAAAGATAACAAAATCACTCTTTGGGATGTCTACAATGGAAAGGATAACGATTAATACATATTTTATTAATACTTGCATGTTAAAGTGATCTCGATTTCATAGTCAAGTGAAGGTTATCAAAACAAACTACATTCTCAATCGTCAACAGAATGTTTTAGAAAATTGAAAATGAAGTAATGTGATTATACATTTCAATACCTAGCAAAGGGTGCTAAAATATTTTTAAACTAGAGGTTGATTTAAGATTCACATTTTATTAATTGTGAACAAATCAAAAGAAATTAGCTTCAAAAATGTGTTTCACTATTAAAACGTGGAAAATAAGTTAATGGACTGATTAATAAAAGCTGGTTTCTTTAATTCGAGTGTTTCATGTATATATCTGTTTTCCACAAAAAAAAGACCACAATAAACATAATATGTACTAAGATTTTTAGAAAGTTATTTATAATTCAGAAAGTTCTCACTTAACTGTACCTCTGTATTTAGTAAGTACTGATTACTATTGAATTCAACTTCTTTAATTTTTAATTTATATTTTAATTGTTTTATAAATGTGTTAATAAATTTTGTGTTTACTAAAATTCAAAACAATTTTTTACTGTCAAACATTTTTTTCTGGGATTGCCGAATGCAATGGATACCTCTATTGCATTCTTTCCAATTTCGAAAATTCAAACCTGTGTAAATACTCGAATGTAAAAAAAGTAAAACCGTGTATAATGAAATGTGAAAAATATATCAATATTTTATATTAAACAGTAATCAATTGTTGTTATAATTTTTAAATTTTTAAACTAAAATCCTGGAACCAGCTCTGCTCTGTAAGCTGATGTTGAGTGTATTTTGTCGACAAGTGTCTAGGTCACTATAAATTATAATTGATGTAAAATCTAAATCATTAAAAACGATTCCGAACGAAGATGATAGTCACTGTGTCGAACTATGTCTAAGGACATTTTTTAAGTTATTTTTATTACCTATTATTGGTTATTTATTTTTCTATTACCTTGTAATATTGTATATTGAACTAATATTTGAAAAAAACGAATAACAATTCTTAGATACATCATAATTATACCGAGGATTATAATAATATACTCAATTGCTATAAATATTAACTCAAAAGTCAAAACTTATAAGTGGGGATCGGATGTTTATGTCTTATCATATTTTTTTCGCATACCCAAAATTAAACCGGATTGTGGTGTAAATTTGATTCACGAAGTCTATATCACAAATAGACAAACCTTTTTTGCATATTTGACATTTTCGGGCATATATATGCATATATTGATAATTTCCAGATTTAGTGGCATATTTATAATATTATTTTTAAATGTAATATAAACGGACGGCTAAAATTCGTTGGAAAATAAAAACTCGGTAAATAATTTTAGATCTCAAGAGTTTTTAGAGGAGCATACTCCCAGAAAATATCCCAGACGAATCGTCGACCCGAAGGAAAAATTGTGTAGATGATATTTATAAAAAAAACTTTGACTAGAATGCAAGTCGAGGTTTTTAATTGTAAAACGTGGGTATCGATCGATGTAGACGGCCGCCATATAGTCAATGTTATTGTGATCGTACTTGATTCTGAGGTGCCTGATGGTAAAGTCATGCTTGTTAACAGTGGACATTAAGCAAAAAACAAATAGTACGACAATAGCTCAACTCCTCGATAGATCTATGCATTTTATTTGACCTCGAGGAGCAGAACACAAAAATGCTGTATTGTTAGTTAGCGACGGGGCACCGTACCCGGTAAAGGCCGGTATAGCGGTCCAAACATTTTCCCCAAAAACGCTTCGTGTAACTTGTCTCGCTCACCCTTTACATCGTGTAGCCGAGCGAATCCGCAGTGGTTTTCCGTTGGTCGACAAGCTTTTATTTCGTCTGTCAAAAAAATCCTTCTTGAATGTCCAGCAAGGACAGACATATTTAAAGATGAAGCACCAGAACCAGTGATTACACGTTGGAGCACGTGGTTCGACGAGGATATTTATTGCTGCGAACCATGTTATAAGACAATTAAAAAAATTATAGAACAATTTGATCCCGACGATGCTTTGCCTATGAAAACATCTCAAGAAGTTATAAGCGAAAGTAGAGTTGAAGCCAATTTGAAAATCCATTCAAAGTCATTGTTACGTAGTGTAATCTTGATGATGTTTAAATTATATTTTAACTTACTTGACATGTATTTTACTTTATATATTTATATTTATAGTATTTAGTTTCTATTATGTATTTTGCGATGACTTTATTTTAAAATCATTTACAAAACACAAATTATTCTGAATTACTACATTATTTTTGTAATTGTTTAAAATAGATATAATATTTAGTACACATTAATAGCGTTTATAATTTATTTTGAATTAATATTAACACCTTGTTGAGTATGTTTTTTCACATATATTTGTTGTAAATAGGTTTATTTGATATATTTGCATAATATTAAATTTTTCAACGCATATTCTAATGAAATTTTGGTCATAAACATTCGAGCTCTACTCATATAAGACAAAATGCAATACCGAAATACCATACAACGTGGTATTAATAGGTTTATGATGTAAACTATAAATAACTTAAAATTAGTCTATATATTTTGAAAATGTCATTGTGAATAGAAAATAGTCATATTATGCTTAAAGTCAAAAAGTGTCACGTCTATGATTAATATTTTTTAATTTGCAACAAAATAGGTTGGTAACTAAATTGAGGATTTTAGCAAAATAACACACTAACACACATTGTTTTGTTTTCTCTCTCTGACCTTAAAGTTAAGACTTAAGGACGTTATCTGTGTATGTTGCTTGGCTTTTTTTACGGCAGGTTCTACAATTTGTATGCAAGTTATGAGTACCTACATGAGACTATGCAATTTAGAAAAACAAATTAATCTTCTACCTATGTAATATACCTATTATACATATCATAAAAAGTTCAACGTACAAAAACTGATTGGTAGGTAATATTCTTAATAATCTGCTTTACTAAGTATAACATTTTTCTTGTAGAGTGCCCAATGTCAAAAAAAAACCCAAACGAATTATTTGATATTACTTAGTAGGTACGTCTTTGATATGATGATCTGACGAATGGGACGCTGTTTTATTCGAAAAATATATTAAAAACGGAAATAATAATAATAAGTACCTACACGCATGATGGCGGTATTCACTACTTCAATTTTTTTACTTACTTTTTACTACTTCAATTCATAATTTTATTTGAAACTAGCTAAAATACCCGTCGTTGCCGGGTTACAATAAAAAAAATCAAATAGTTGAATAATAATTGTGTATATATAAATAAATATAAAGGATGTATCATGTATACATCGTTAGAATAGTATGCAATTAATAAAAAACATAAAATGGAAAATAATTTAATTTTTTAAGCTTTAATTACTTTTATAGATACTATAGATAGGTATACGCAAGATATATTTTTATTTTATTAATGGGAAAATTATACATACTTCACCCAAAACAAAAGAAATGTATAAACACTATAAACAAATGAATTTCAACAAATTTGTTTATTATTATTATGGAATTTGTTTATTAACTATATTCATTGTATTTTTTTTGTTGTTTGGTATTATTTGGATTTTTTACTTTTCTAAAGATCTAACTCTGGACATGGTAACACAAAGTTGACAATGGTCCATGACTAAACACAGGTTGGGGTAAATATAAACCTACTTTATCCAATGTTTTACCCTGTGCAAAAGCTATTCGAAAATTGACGTCTGGTAAATGAAAAGGGAAGAGTAGAAACTGTCGGGGTTAAATCAATTATAGGCTATAAAATACGCTGACCAGTCAAGGGACCAGTTATAGATTCCAAGTCTAAAGAATGATCGTACATATTTCGTACTATAAATCTTGTGCCATTCATTAGATTGGAGATTACATTTAAATTTCTCAAGGGTATTACAATAGCACCTTTCTTTAGTACCAAACTGTATTGTAGGTAAACCACTTAAATGTAAACTATCTAAAAATTCTGTAGGAAACAAAAAATCGTCACATTCTTTTGACACTATACTTAAACTTAAATACCTTTTTCCTGGCCCTGGCAACATAGTGACAATTGCATTATTCATCTCATCACAATGTTCATTTTTAGATGTAAGAATAGCAAATTGTGAAAAAGTAGACACATTTTCTAAACTAAAAATAATATCTTCAAAAACGTCTTTTATTATATTACTTGATAATAGCGATGGTTTTATTTCAATTGAATATTCGTCCGAATAATGATTTATTAGTGGGTATTTGCAATTTCCAATATGTAACAAAAACTTGTAAGTGGCTCGGCGTGGCGAGTTGGCTGCTACCAGTCGCGGAATGCGACTGGGAGTAAGCAACGGCCACAGCTACTAATTCCCGGATGGGTGACCACCCGGGTTCATAGTAGTAAAAAACCTTGCCATACATACACGTGTTTGCTATCTACCGTAACAATCGTAAAAAAAAAAAACAAAAACCAACCAACCAACCTTACCCCCTGCCACAGTTTATGACCCCTACAACAGCTAATGGACCTAGTCGCCGGGCTTAAGTTCAATAAAAAAAAAACTTGTAAAATTCAATTTCACTTTGGTGTACTCGCCTATTTCTAAAGAGTTTAAGAATTTTAAAATTTGGCCAAATCGGAGAATATTTTATACAGTTTTGTATTGTAAGCTGTCTAGATCCATGTGAGACAACTGGTAAAACTTGTCGTTAACTTTACACTTCTAATAACTATTTAAATAATTATTTTTTTGGGCGTTACTCTTTTGATGGCTCCGAGTACTTGGGTTAGAAAAAATAAGATGTATAACTGTCATAAGAAACACAAATAAACAATAGATACAAAAAAAAAACGGACGAAGACACAATATTACAGCACTGCTCTGTAGTTGTATTATGTGTGCGAGATAATTTTTGTTGATCAACTTTTCGGAACAATTCATATCTACAAGTCGATATAAAAAGGCCAGGTTACAGCCTTACAGGTAGCTATGGAAACCCTAGGGCCGCCGCCTATATATAGGTGTAAATAATACAACAAACTTTATACTTCTAATTACTATTAAAATAATTAACTTTTTGGACTTTTCTCTTTTGATGGCTCATCTACACACCGAGTACTTTCGTTTAAAAAAAAAATTGTGAAAATCGGCCCGGTAGAACTTCAGATATAACTGTCACAAGAAATCGCCTCACGTTTTAATAATATATAAAGATGATATTATATATACCTGCTGGTGTGCATATAACCGTGTAGCCGTATAGAGGGCGATGGGGCAAATCCCGCCCCCTCCCCCTGCCACAATGGGGTAAAACGTTTTAGCTCTCCCAAGTTGAAGACTGAATGTGCGCCTATGGGCATGTCCCGTACTTTCACCTATATGGTATTGAATATTTATCTAGTTTTAAGTTTTCCTTTTTTTTTTGTCCCACAAACTAAAGAAGATACGTACTTATAACTCGGCGATTTAAAAAGTATTTTAATCGAAAAAAGTTATTGTGAGTAGGTACTTAAATATGGGATATAAAAATGATAAAAAAATATAGAATTGGGAGTAATAACAATAGTATAAACAAAACACACACACACATGTATAGTAATAAAATTATTGTTATGTATTAATTACACAAAATCATATACTTATCGCGTAGTATAGTATACATATATAGGTACCTACTATATATTTTATGTATATATATAATAGGTAATAATAATAATATTTCGTTTATGTCTATTATATATAATAACGCGTGTCCGACGCACGATGATAATCGTAATAATCATAATTCATAATAATAATAATACGCTTTTTCCGTCGTCTCGCTGAAAAATTCGTCGCCATACGTAAAATAATACAATAATATTATAACATAATCATAATAATAATAATAATAATAATAATAATATAACTGTACCGAGCACCGAGCAGAGACATCACTGCTATGCGATACCTAAATACATCATCATTTGTAGCCAACTCGTACGACGGCCGTACTCTTTTATCGTATTATTATAATCGTTTTTGTCAATATTATTATCATGGTATAATTGGTCGTCACTCGTCGTAGTACTCGTCGGCGTACTCGTAGACCGGCCGCATGGGCCTTCTGTTGGCCCCAGACGTCGCCCTCACGTGCTTGTTGTTGTTGTTGTTGTTGTTGTTGTTGTTGTTGTTGTACTGCGCGTGCGGACGGTCGGCCTGCTGTTGTTGCTGCGGCCTCTGCCTGTTGCCGTGCGGAGCGGCCATCACCTGTCTGACGCTCACGCGCTGTGGCTGCCTGGCCTGGTGCTGGTACACCGTCTCCGCGGCCGCCGCCGATTCGTCCACACCGTCGTCTTCGTCGACCGGCGGCGATCTGACTTTGGTCGGTTTCGAGGGCCGCATCAGGAACGGGCCGGACGCTCGTTGCTTGGTCGCGGCGTTGATGGACTGCCGTGTGGCCGCCACCGGTAGTTCGTCCTCGTAATCGTCGGCCACGCGGTCCGCCGCCGGCCTCTTCCTCGGCGCCGCGGGCTGCTGTGGTGGCGGCGCGACGGTCGCGGGTGCCCTGCCCGGCTTCGACCTGGCCGCTGTCGACGGGCGCCTTACGCGGTCCGCGTCGTAATCGACCACCACGGCCGTCCTAGCAGCGGCCGCCTTCACAGGCTTGACGACCTGGTCGGGTTTTGAGGCGGCTGCGGTGGACGCCACTGCGGATTTCACCGCAGCGGGTACATCCGGTTCCGCGGCGTACTCGTCGTCGGCCACCACTTCCTCGTCGTCGTCGTAATACTCGACCGGATCTTCGGTCGTGGCCGGCTTTGGCAACGGCTCTCTGCCCTTGGAACCCGACTTTGTCGTCGGCGCGGCTTCTGTGGTGGTGCTGGTGGTGCTTGCGGCCGTGGTGGTGGTGGGCGCGGGAGCGGCGTCCGCCGACGGACCTGGTTGTGGGCCAGACTTCGAAACGTAATCGTATCGATCGCGTTCGTTGATGGGTACGGGGCGCCGGATCTTGGGCGGGGCCCTGGGCTTGTCGTACACCGAAGATATCTGATTGGACACGTTCTTCGTCACTGCGGTGGACGACGGCTGTTGCTGTTGCCGTGGCTGCTGCTGTTGCTGTTGCTGCTGGTGTTGCTGCTGCTGCGCGTGTTGTCCCCTGTGCTGCTTGAAGTTACCGCTGGGCGGCGCGTCAGACTCAGAACTGCTTTCCTGGTAATCGGCTTCTAGGTCGGCCTGCTTGTAATCTGAAACGTTAAGGGGCCGGTTAAGTATAAGCTTTTTTTAATAATATTTTGCACTAAAAACAACTACGTGGTATCCGAAATCATTTTATACGAGATCTGCAGCAGACTTTCTGCGGTCGAAATAGGAGTCTACGTATATGGTGGATGTCAATGTGAAATTTTCCACCTATAAATTACTAATTTAGAAGAAGGCAATCTCCGTGGGGAATTACAATGTTTTACAGAAATCAAGCATTTCGTTTGTATATTTGCAGGACGTATAATATATTTTCTATACCAGTAAATTGCATACAAGACGTAATTGTATTTGTCCACAATCGATTGGATTCTAAGTCGTAACATGGGAAACAACCAAAGTTGAAATATATTATTATATACATGCGATGCCATTAACAAATAACGATACAGAAAAATTACTAGTGTGTGTGTGTGACTGCACGGCGAGTAACAACACCATGTGTCCATGTTCATGTTAAAAAGTTCCTATACTTATTAATAATTATATGATGTATTAATGCGTTATTATTGAATCATTAAAATAACGTGAATCACGATTTTAAATAAAATCCAGATCTGGTTAAATCAATATTAAAGTATTAAACACAACTATTTTGATTTTTTTTTCGTAACTTATAATAACACAACATACGAGACTTTCTAAAATAATAAATGTATCTATGTATTCGAAAATATATTAAATTCGATTTCAGCGAAAGGCGATGTATAACATCATAATATAATATTTATATAATAATAGAAAATTATTGGAAATGTTAAAAAATAAATTTATAATTTATAAAACGCGCACGACTTGTGTCGACGAACATTAAACACTGTATACATATGCGAAAGACATACGAGCTAGTATAGTGCGTTTGCCTTTGATGTGCATATACTCTATGCATCAATTAAAAAACTTCATTGGACGTGCTCGCAACGGTGGTAGACCACCAGACGTATAGTTTTCATATTATACAATAGGACAAAATCCGTGATTGTTTTTAATCATTACGCCGCCGCTGTTGAAAATATGTTCAACACAATATATTGTGTGAAATTGTTCGTAGTAATATATTATATTCGATCAACGACTTTGTAACGAGAAATATGAAATATATTCAGAGGTCTCGATTGGGGAGGAATGAGCGCCGAGCCCCCTCCCCTCGAAAAGCTAAGCAAAAATCGACGTCGGATACGTATAGGCTATAATAGGTACGTGGCTATAGATTTTTAGTTGTAAAATCCAGGTGGAGTACATTATATTTAGTTACAGTTATAACCCGAAATCAGTCAAAATTAGTCTTAACTAGTCAATATACTGGTTTTCACTACCCCCTTTCGTCAAAACAGATTTTAATAAGTTCAAACTACAATAATTAACGACTTAGAAATTAGTTTTGACTTATTTTTCAAGTGAAACTAGTTGTGTCTGAAATATAATGGTGAAAACTAAAACTATCTAGTAAAAATCGATTTTCAGAATTTTCTCGAATATTAATTTCACTCATAGTTATTATTAAAAATATTGTTAAATATTACTGAAAAACTTTCCAACTAAGAAAAATGAACTGTTAATAACTAACCGAACGATATTCACTCAAAGACTACTTCATAGCTATTGATGTACACATACCTACGGCTAGTGGCTACCACAGATATACCTTTAACCATTGATTTTATAATAATATATACAGAGTATTATAAAATCAATGCTGTAACTATTATATCTTAATCGATTTCATAGCCAATTGGTCGATGTTACCTTAATTTATTTGATAGCTGGCTGGTCCATTGCGTTCGCCCATGATCGTGCACGATTTAGGTTTTTTTTTTTAATACCTATGCCAGGTATAGTATACGTATACATTTTAGTAAAAACTAGTTTTTTAATTAAGACATTTAAACTTGGAGGTAATTCTAGTCTTAACTAGTTTAAATCAGTTTTGACGAAAGGGGGTTGTGAAAACTAGTGTTGACAGATTTCGGGCATTAATTGTAACATATATATTATGTGCAACTGTGTAAGTACAGTACTTATTATATAGCTTTCCTCGACTTGCACGTAAATAACAATGCAAATCAATAACCACAGCCATATTAAGTATTGATATACCAAAATCTGTCGAAATATTGATTACCACTACAAGTCGGTAATGACAATAATTATAATAACAATAACAATAACAATGTAGTATTGCACTTACTGTTGAACCTAGAATGTTTTCTTATGGGTTTTTTGGCCACCGGCATTTGCTCGACGCTATCGTCGTAGTACTCCTGTTGGTCGTCGTAGTCGTCTACGTAATAATATTCGTACACGGGCCTTCGCCTCCGGTAGGAGGGCCTGCGCTTCCGGCCCTGCGCGTAACCCGGTGGCATGGCCCTGCGACCTTCATACGGCATCTGTTGCTGTTGGTATTGCGGGTAGAACGGTTGTTGTTGCTGCTGTTGCTGTTGCTGTTGCTGCTGTTGCTGTTGCTGTTGCTGTGGCGCGGCCGTCGTGGACGTGGTGGTCGTCGGCAGCGTCGTCGTCTCGGCGGCTTTGTACAGCGCATCATTTCTGCGCACAAATTAATTTTCATAGTAAGGTTTTAAAATCGGAATCGTAACGATTATATATTAGAAATGTAAAACGTATGATAAAAGATAGGTACCACACTACTTCCTCCGATAATGAATATTGTCACACTAACTTTGTAGAAGATTTTGGACATTCCCGATAAAATCATTACCTATACTTAATATAACAATACGTAATCGCCGCTTTGGCATTGGAAATTTGGAAATAGAAAACAGAAATACATAACGTGTTGAGTGAACTCCAGTTTCCTCCGAGCTCCTTTAACCGTCATATTACTTTTGTGCAAGGTCCACTGCTCATATAGGCTATGTTTTTAGTAACGAACTTATTACTAATGAAAACTCATTGAAATTGAATAAAAAATAAAATAAAAACCTCTGGCCTGATAGGGGTGGTAAATACGCCACTAACGATTGGGTGCAACACACACTCCATCACATCATTCACTACCATTACATCTGTACGGCCAGCTTTTGATTTTGTCTTTTGAAAGAACGATTTTTTTCAAAAGATATGCGTTTTCTTTATGGTTACATGATCCTAAACACGATTAACAGAAGAAAAAAAACCATCCAGTTCGACGTTGGTTTTTATCGCAAAAAGTATTTCGTAATTGATACAATACTGTTTGGATGCGCGAGGTACGTGCAGTGTTTTACACTGCGAAAACTCTATCCGCATAGCCATAGTATATAATTTGTATGATGATATACCTAATTCACTGTGGCAAAGTGCACGCCTTACATTAACTCGGTGTCTTGATAGGTAACCGCAGCCAGACAATAACCCGAAACTACATAATACCGTCCTACGCATTAGACTTATTATTATTATTATTATGTTGATACACATAATAATATTATGTACGTATATAACATTATAATACGCATAATACAGCTACTGCCAAGCGCCAATATCCGCAACGCGGACGTCACGTCGGTATATGGTAGTTATAAAATATAATATGTACGTCGTGACTTCGTCATTACCTGCTAAAGTACTTGGCCGAGTTTGGGCAGTCCACCTGGGACACGAAATGGCAAATGAACGTCTTTTGATCGAACGCTGTGTAGTTGGCGCACAGGAAGTCGAACCTCGTGCCGAACAGACAGTGATGGTAGAGCTGCAATCGCATACACATAATCAATGTTTAATATTACAAATTACAATTCATATAGTATTATATATTATAGGACTTTGGGCTAAATTAATTTTGTACAGTCGGGTACTAGATATATGTTATGTAATCCGTTGTGTATAGGTACTGGCGTACTCCGTCCAGCGTGTAATGACAACGATTGCATTAACTAAGTTTGACGTCAGAGGCCAGTAGGCCACAGACAAAATAAACATTACATTTTTTCCGGAACTATATAGTGTTTGATATTTAACGTGTACTTCAATGTGTATACGTTTAGATGCGGCGATTGCAACCGAGAAACTCAAAAAGGACCCAACCTCCCCTTCCCATACACATAGACGTAAATAGTGGGGGCTTAGCCCACCCTTCAGCCTCTCGAGCCCACCTAAATGAAATATGAATTGAAAACAATCAAGTAATTGAAATAATACATTTTTGTTTACCTACCTTTACTTATATCACAATAGAACACAATCATATTGTGTGACACAAAAAATAAGTGATAATAAATATCGAATATTGTGATAATGGTATGGAACAAGTTACGGCTACAGGTTGTGGGACAGGTTGTAGTAGGTGTATCTTTTATCAGTGATTTAAGTAAAATTATTTTATAAATAGAATATTGCAGTATTTTCCTTGTTCTGAAGAATATGAGGTTATCCTGATGATTTTTGTAACCAATGTTTTCTTTTTTCATTTGCCCTAATTAAAGTGTATTACCGATCACCATCGCATTTAATTTCGTAATTGATTGAGGAGTATTGATGTGTTTTATTGTTTTTGTAATTACTGTAATAAATTCGTAGTTTACTTTAAGAAACCAATATTCAATTTATTTCACGGTCATTATGTTTAGTATATTTAATAATAAAAAACAATCTGCTAAAGAAAAATGCAATCTCATTGTTGGTAAAATAGGTATTAATCACCCTCAAGAACCAGAAAAAGAGTTGGAATCGAATTCGCAAATGGTAATTTCATTTACAATTGAAAAATATTAAGTGTAGCCTGTAGGTATATTATTAACTTATCTTATTCAAATCTTGTACTAGATGCAAATTAAGTCAGTTTTTCCTCAAGCTACTGATTCAGATCCAGATGATCCTGATATAAATGATACTAATAATCATGCTCAAATAATTGAAAGCTCAATTCAAGACTTAGGACATTTAGAACCAAATTTGGTAAAAGATTTAGGTGACTTGAACACAGGCCCCGCACAACCTATTTTGTCAGTAAGTCTAAATAAAATTCTTGTAATGATTCTTATCTAGGTATACATGTTAAAGTCATTTCTTATTAAATTTTATGTTCTTATTTATAGTTTTGAACTGTTGAAAAGACTTATAACCAATACCTATGTGCAATAAATAAAATTTACTATTTATACTATTTTGTAATAAATGTACTTTGCTTGTGGATATTTAAAGTTGTATTTCTTTATTGAAAATGTTGGTATTCATAATTGTATTATAATATTTTCTTATTTATTAAGGGTAAGGGACAAGGTTATAGTCCTACAACCCCTCTCCTCTGTTAAACATTTTAACTAAGGGCTCGAGCCCACTCAATTTAATGGCTCTAGTTACGTCTATGCCCATACAAGAAACCAAACCACGTTTACTTAGTTCGTAAAAACATAATAATAACATATAAATACCAAATTCTATATAATATTTTAACTGAATTATATCATGATAATATTGCCTATTTTCCTAGGTAAAATAACATAATGAGCTTGGCTTAATATTCATGTATAAATAATCTTTTCGTTTACCATTACCATATTAGGTAGACACGACATTAAACTATTTGTAATTTAATTAGGTACTTAAATATGGTAAGTTACTGTCCGTTCAAAATTGGTAGGTAGGTAGAAATACATTGATAAGATTATAAAAATCAGGTTTGGAAAGGAGTAGAATATTATGTACCTATAATGTTAATATGAAATCCACCCGGTCCCCCTTATTCAGATGATGACTCCTTGCAACCCAATGGAAATATTAAATAATAAATACTTATTGCCCATATGGGTTTAAGCTTAGGCTCAATAGGAATAACCCATTGAAATAGATAGAAATTAATAAAAAATTAAAATTAACACACAAGATCGACTCACCTGACATTTATGAGGCATGCTCGCGTAGAAACCATCATGCAATCCGTCGCATTTGAATTCGATATCTGCGGGCACCGAGTTTAGGAACGGATATTCCGATAAGTTGTAACCGTTCAGCTCCCGGGGCAAATTTGGATCGTGCACGTAGTCGATCTGTGGTATGCCTGTCAACGTGGGTTTTGTGGTCGTGGTTACGTTCAACTCGACTGCTTGTTCCCCATTTTCGTCCACGTCGATTGCTTCATCCGGGTCCTGTTGGTTAAACAAAATGTATGTTTATCATCGATTTATTGTGTAGATTTTCCAAAATTACATAAAACTATAACATTCAAGCTAACTTAAGAGATATTTGCACCTCCCAAAAGAGAGGGTTGATTCCGCCAAAGGCGTTAGCGCAATTGTGTAATATTTTATTTCGATATTTTAACAGGCGTGCAATTCTCTTCCAGCGGTACGCTTATGACATCGCTCATTATGCATGTGGATTTATAATATTAGGTGTAAGTTATGGTTTTTAACTTTTATTCGGCCGAGAGTAGAAACCGTTTCTTTTTTTGAACGATAGTTGTGTAGTGATATAATAATATAGATACATTATGACAGTATGTTATACTGATAATTACGAAATGCCCTTGTAATAATTTAAATTATAGACCTGTCTTTTCTTATAAAAAAAGTTACGACCGAAATTACATAAATATAAATGTACGATCGGGTTTATTTTTAAAAGTCAGTACTCCCATCGCATATAATATAATCAATTACATATTATAAAGAATTTTTTTATTCGGCGCTTATAGACGAGGACACGAGGTAGAATAATGGTAGATGTTCCTAAAAAAATAAGTAGGTAAGATAATTTGCATTTTATATTATTTTATCCAAATAATAAAACAACAATATTTGGATTTCTATTATACACAAACTACCAAATTATTAAACACATTTAAGATTTTCAACTACTGTGTGTCTGAGAGTTTAAATTTAACAGGGGTTGCTAACCAGACATATATTTTCCTCAGAACCGTATTTTAACAAAAAAAATATTAGTAAATAATCAATACATATAGGTTTGGTATTATTATAACAATATTTCATATTTTGTATATTTTATTCGATTCTCTTATACATGGCTTGATATATAAATATGAAAACATGGTATAGTTAATTAATTTAAATCTGACATAGATTGCACGATTGCACAAAGTACGTACCTTAATATTATTATTATTGTACACATTACTATAAGTACATGTATAAGTTATAACAGATTAGTATGAATTATAAAAAAGGAACAATAAAATATGTTATAAGATTATAATATATTGACGTATTGCTAATACTAATATACTATATAATCTCAATAAAGGGGAAAAATATATTATAATGAGTAATGATAAAAATATACTGTTCTCTTTCGGCACCTATTACACTGTGTAGGTATTTAACGTTTTAGTTTAAATTTAGATCAAGCAAAAATAACAAAATGTACAAGGCTGTCTTCGAATACAGAGCACGATTGAATTTCATCTATACATCTGTATAATATTATTATATAGGTGACAGGTGCCTTTATAAATATATGATATAATACATACTGTCAAATGAGGTTTTGATGGTAATATTTTTTATTCTAATAATAGCAATACCAACGAAATAACCTCGACATTTATTGACTGACACTGTACGTACCGAAATTTTTTTGTCCGCTTTCGCTCTCGCTTGAAGTACAACAGCAGAACCTCGTAGCGCATCTAACTCCGCTACAAATACGGACCATGTCAGTAAACCTGTAATTAAAATATGCAAACGTCAATTGATTCACCTTCATTGTATAGGTAACTGTGTTTTACATAAAATGTACATTTATTATATGCGTCATCTGAAGTGACTTTCAGTAATTTCACATACTTAATATATTTTGTTGTATTAAAATAATAATTAGTACATCAAAATAATTTTTAAAATCTATTACATTGTAATAATCGGTAGGTACTTATATGTATAATGTGTTACTGCATTTATTTGCATGCACAGAGTAAAGAAACTTCAGACTTAAATATGTTATAATTAAATAAATATTGTAAATAACATTTGTTTTTCACATATGTACAAAATACAGATAGTAGCCTGTATATTATAGATTAGAGTCTTCGGCATTTTTATTCTCACTTATCATGTTCACTAAGAACGTACGGAAAAAATTATATTAATTACAAATCGTCCATGTAAAGAATGTTACAAGTTCCTGTAGGCGAGAGGATTTGCAGCTCTAAAAACGGACTACGGGTATGAACTTAATCTCTTAAAAACAAAGAATAAGCAAAACAAAATGTTTGATAAATAATTTGATTCGATAATTAATTTTTTTGTAATTGGATGAACCAAATAATCATAATTCAAGCGAATAAATTATACAATAGATCGATACATCGTTTTTAAATGTACTTGATCTAATATCATATAATAGCCTCGGGCATAGTGGTTTGAACAATAAAATAACAAAAAAAATGTTTTTCAACTGAAAATATTATTTCGATTTCACTAAATCATTATTAATATTCATCTAATAGCCAGTTGTAATTTCACCATGTAGTTTATTTGAGACACGACTACACGAGTACAGGTATTATATTATTGTATAATATATAAAATTAACGAAACCAAGTGTGCAGCCAATAAATCGATAAATCGATATCTCCGTTGAGAAGACGAAATTGTGTCATCGGAGCCATTCGATGATTACTAAATAAAAAATATTCATTACGATATGAACACATATTTAATATTATATTACTATATACGTGTCTACTTTTAATCATTTACTATATGGTTACAGAATATTCGCGAAAAAAAAAATTATAAGTCTATGCTCTATACAGGCTCTGAAAAATTGCGTCCGATAACTGCAGATACCAATATAATAATGTAGTATTATAGTATATCATATTATATAGGTACCTTCAAAGTACTATACACTATAATGAAGTACCTATATAGTTCGATTTGTTCCCGATGCATTTTTAATCAGGTATAATTTACGACGTGTAAACTGTTCGCTGTGCATTGTGTAACAGTGGCATACATTTTCGATTGTCAATATTATGAATTAATGCGATAGGTATAGCATTGCAACGAACCAGTTTTAAAAACTCATAAACTCGGTAACGCCCAGAGATATACACTCGCAAGCACACACGAGCACATATGCGCCACAGCCCATGGGACCCATTGCGTTTCCTGGACAAACGTGACAGTGGCATTGCAACATAAGTACCGATAAACACGTAATTAGGCGCCGAAAAACACTATCCGTCTATACGTATTCGACCAAGTGGTGACGTAATTCTTTTATGTACATACCTAGACGTTTAAGACAGACAGCAGTCCCTATAAGAGGACATAAACAAACTGTATAATTGTTACATTCTGTGGTAAAGCTGGTATACGTTTATAAAACGTTTATAATATAATACATTATCTATATTACATAGAATATTATATTATAATATAAATTATAGGACACCGCAGCGTCCCAAGTTTGAGTTATATTCTCTCGCCGAAATCGACCATTACGCAGCAACTATATAGATAATAAATACATAACGATATTGAGATCAACTGTAGTATATTATGTATATTGTGGTGATAAAAAAATGAATAGTGAGCAAAAAACATAAATCCTTGATCTTCGATCAATGTGAATGCACTTGAAACGCGCCTATAATGTGTATAATATAGATACTCCACACAGCGTACGCTGTGCACATACCAATTTATTATTATAATATAATATTATTATTATCTATATAATATTCGTCGAATCACCTACACGGTATTTTTTCTGAATTGCGCGTTAAGACTACCATAAAATCTGGCCAATTTTCGGTCATTAACCTTCATGGCAGATTGTCATAATAAAATAAAATAATGTTATATAAAATATTTATTGTTTTTATTTTACCTCCGACTTTACCCTCCTATCTTGGTTATAAAAACTATTCACCAAAGCCCAAAGGCGTATTTTTATTTGAAGTGGCACATGGGTCATTTAATAATAAGTTATGAATATTATGATAGTGAGTACCCGAATTATTTACCAAAAACTATACGTACACATTTTCTATTGAGGTGGTTAAGAAATTGATGTTATAATTTTATGGCGCATAAAGTTTGAATTGTGTATAACATGTGGAAAACAAACCGTTTACATTTTTAACTCGATAAATTAAACATATATATATGCTGACTGCTGATGAATTTCAGGATTTAAATAAAAAATAAGTAATGAGTTCCATAACATTGTAAACAAATTTGTATTCATCTTTTTTCTATACCTATCAATATTTATTAATATATTATTTAAGAATTATAAGTATCGTTCTTACAAACAAATTAATTTAATGATTAGCTAAAGAACTATTTTTTACAACATTGGAATTAAACTCGAATACTATTTACGTTTTTTTTGTTCCGTTTGCTCCCGCTCGTTAGTTTATTTTTAATTTCAATTTTAAATAAATATTTAATTAATATTTAATATATTATTTTCACTCTGTGTGACTCTTGCCAAATAAAAATCGTAATCGCTTATCAATATCAATATGTAACGTCAATGGAAAGTTACTAATAGATTGACTTTCATAAGGTAGTAATATCGATGAACGCATGTAATCGTGGGTGTTAACTGCTAGTTGCTACAGGTATACCATATATTATACTCGTGTATCGGTATAAATATTATGAATTATGATTACAATAGCTCCAACATTATAAGTGAACCAGCAAATAATTTAATGTGTTAAGACGAAACTAAAATACTCAATGGCTGCATTATTTTCACAATATATATATAAACTTACTTGTGGGTACCTACATAGATTTTAACATGAAAACAATTTGTATTATTTGTAAGATATCCAGTATTTATTACAACAATTAGCATTTGGAACAAAATATCACAATTTTCACTTTTTTTTAATAAATTATGTTATTTTTAAATTATTGATTGTATCATGTTTAGGATAATTGATAAGGATGTTTGATTTTTACCATGATTTTGCATTGATTTTAATGCACGAAACAATAAAAATGGAACACTGAATGCTTCAATAATATTTCATCAATCAATATAAAATATAATAAATAGTTTCCAATATTCATAAATTTTATACCAGAAACAGGATGTAATTTAGTACTGTAAATGTATTCAGTACATATCTTTTAATAACCTTCCGCATTTAAACATATTATGTTTTTAATTTTAATATTTTTTTAAAAGCTACAAATAGTTTAATTATACAGTAATAAATAATAATACGACTTGTGCAATATAGTTACTGGTATCATAAAGCAGTTAAGAGCAACAACTTAATAGTTAATTGTTAATGATTATAAAACTAGATCTGAACAATTTTTGAATAAATTAGAAATGTAACAAAATATTTCATGATGAATAAAATATTTCTCTATCCAATCACTATTATTATTATTGTTATTGTATTGGTGTTAAATATATAAAATGATTACAAGAGTCATGCATGCTTTGTAAAATATTAAATGAACATTTTATTCAAGGACGCTTTTTTTATTATTATTATTTAAGTTATTGATTTTTTTTTATTACTATGTATTTTTTATTTTGTATATAAATATATTTACGAGTAAATATTACGTATACAACTACTATACAGTTTTTTTACCGATGTTTTGCAACATGTCATTTTTGTACTACAATTTTTATACATGTCGAATAATATAGTGAATATAACGTAATATAATTAAATTTCTACTTTTATAGTTCTAAGAAATGTCTACTTTTTCAAAAATAGTATTCCTATATTATTAAACTATGAGTCGTTGCTCCCAAGTCTCAAGTTATTAGAATTTTAATTTCAAATAACAATAATCATATAAAAAAATCGATTGATTGTTAATTTAAAACTGATAAAAAACAAAATAAAAATCCATTGATAGTTAATTTAAAACTGATAAAATACAAAATATAGTTCAATAAATATTAAAAATGAAACCATTGGGTACATTGCAGTACAAAATTCGATCGAATCACTAAGAATTGTTTATACTTGACTAACTAATTAGAATATTTTTTTGCACTTGATTGTAGATTTTTAGTTTAATGTTTTTTGAAAAAAAATTGGATAATGTTTTGTACTTGAATTTGTTTCACTTAATACGCGTATCTAGAGGTGCTTGCAAGTGGGGTCCTAGCTCGGGGGCCTGTTAGACTTGTAGTCTACCAAATGTTCAGTCCATCTAAATTATAAAAATTGTGTAGTCCCCAAAACCACCTATAGGTAATAAAAGGTATATGATTGCGTTTATAGCCTCCCTCCTACAATATTTGATCACCCTACGTCTATATATGCTCCACAGAATAAACCTCGCATTTATACGAGGACAATGGCCTGCGGTGTCTTTTCGGTATTGCGTCAACATGTTCATAATAATATAATATATAACTTATAGTCACGAGCGTATTTGTGATTTATAAACCAGATCATTGATTACAAACATAATACAATATGTAGATTTAATCAATGACCATAATACGATAGAATGATTCGCAAAGTACTTGTTAAATAAATAACTATAGTTTGTTATATAAATTAAATATTTCAATCATAAATATAAAACAAATTTGAAATTATTAAATATCTATAATGAATCAATAATAGTTATGACTTATGATATAACAACATGAAGACAAATTAAACTGCTCCAAATATTGGTCGAGTGTGTAAAATAAGACTTACCAAATATCAGCTTATAATTATACCCTCTTTGTTTCAAGCAGTATAAAATTTAATATTCAAGATATAAAGAAAAATATATAAAACTCGACGTTGCTCAATATTTCATACGATTCCTACTTTTCAGATCGATATAAAAAATAACTTAAAAACAGACAACGCCCTCAAATGACTTTCACAAACATATTAATAATGTTTTCAAGGTTCTTCCTATTAGTAACTGCAGAGGCCTTTAAGAAATATGATACATTTAAAATGCACGGAGACTACAATATTTTGAAACCATTTGGTAAATTGTTACGAAATTTTTATGACTTGAATTCCTAATGATTTTAAATTTCTATACATAACACAATACGTCTTCATAACAAACAAGTCTGATCAAAAGCCATTATAATTTAAAAGACTTGTACATTTTTGATTTAAATAGTTATTTTAATTTTTAAAGAAAGCTATTGATTAACATTTGGCCTATATAATATTATGTACACTTAAATTTTAAATAAAAAGTCATTAAAACAAATAATTATTAAACGTATAAAGTATCCTGCAACAATATATTTTTGTAGGTACATCGTACATAATTATATAATATGCATTATTATCTATGGGTCATATATTATAAATCAGGTACATAATATAATAATGAAAAGTAATAATGATATTTTTTAATTCACTTACATATCGTCAGCTTACAAATGAATATAATTTTGAGCCGTCTCATTTCAGTCTGAAACAAATGAAAAAAATAATTAATAAATCTGATTATTACAAAGAAAATTTAATTTCATAAAGCCATATGAGTAAGTAGGAAATAAAATCATATATTCTAATTAATTCATGTCATATATTTATCAGAACGTAATTAAAATTAATAATACGTCCCAAGTATATTTTATGTTTACAATATCCTCCTTTTGTCATCATTTAGTCAAATTCTGATTTTTTTAAAAACCATATTTTCAAATACCATCTAATGAATATCGTGTGGTACAAGCTATAGCCATACTTATAAGTATGTGAAATAATAATACTTAAAACCTCAGAACTCTCTTTAAAATTAAAATAACTAAAAAAGGATAGAATCATAGAACATTGGTTATATTGGTATCTATAAATTTAATGATAAGTCAATTTGCTATAATATTAAAACCCAAAATAACTAATTTTCCACACAAACTAGCATAAAAAAAAACTTATGTAAGAATATTATCAGTATTTGTACATCGGATTTTTGAAGTATTTAAATTGTTAAGGAAGTTATGAGCATTTTTAAATTGAAATATTTTACATACCTACTCATAACTTGCTTAAAAATCAAAATATCGTAAAATCCATGATGTCTACAAACATAATACAGCTCATAACGTTCTTATGCATTTAAATAAATACATACTATCATAGGTGCATAGAATAATATAAGCGCATAAAAATAGTATAATTCCTTTAACAACTCAATTTATTTTTACTTAAATAATGACTTATAACACCGGTATTATAATTAAATTGCGTATATAATGCAAATCAGAGCTATGTATGCGGATGGAGAGGAGGGGAGGGGAATATTCTAACCAAAATATGTTGAAATTGTATAATAACCTTGCTTGACAAACAATATTGTACATAAACTACCTGTGCGTATTATGAATTTATCGATTTGCCTACCTAAATCTAACGTAAACAATACAAGTCTACCTGCCCAATAGCCTCAACTCATACGAAAAAAATACTGTCGACGTAATTATGACAGTAATAGCCGCTGGCGTGTAAGTTTCCCGGCATTGAAAAACCACGAAAACGTACTGTACCCAGCGGTTGGATACCTAATTGTTTCTCGGCGCAGGACCCAAATAATATTAGGTAGCAATTATAGCCTGCACCTATACGACAGTTGTAATAATATTGAAATTATGTTATAATAATAAATACGAGACACTGTTAAAATAATACACCCTAATATTATAAACTATAATAATGTATTGTAGTGATTAAATAATTACTAATGACGTTAACAATGTCCAAAATCAAAAAAAAAAACAAAAAACAAATCTGTAACAAGCGCCTGTTTTAATCGACGTGGTCGGGAAACCTGTTTTTATTATTATCATAATATAGGTACCTACGTGATTATTATTGCATTTGCAATATCATATACTTGGGTGTGACCATTACAACCTTGACTGGTCTGACCACATATATATATAATATGTATGTATTTATACACTATACGATAGCATATACCTATATAATATATAAAGTATACTATAATATCGGAATCGAACCGCGAGAAGGAGCGACGGTGACGGTGAACGGAGGACGGGGCAGACCGCAAAGAGACAACTGTTAAAAGGGAGAGAGAGAGAAAAGACGATGACGGGGGAGAACAAAAAAAAAAAAAAAACGCTACCAGTTTCCAGCGCGAGCACGGCACCGCCGTAGCCCAAATATTACCACATATTTTTATTTGTACAATACGCAGACCCGTCGCCTGTGTGTGTGTGTGAATGTGTGTATAGTATACATAATATGTATAATAATACACTAACCGTACAGTCGCGACTTTGATCTCGTTTTGTGAAACACGCGCCTATACACGTTCACGAGTGCGCTATGTAGGCATTATAATATTATTTTATTTTATACGCGTATAGGTATTGTATATCGCAGCGCGGCCGCACACCGTTATGGTCCGTTGCGGAAAATTCGAACGGTTTTTCGCGAGTTATTATGAAATTGATGTCTATTGCGATAATTACTCCACGTCTATATAATAATAGACACATAATAATATATTGATATTATTGTGTAGTGTGTGTGTGCGTATGTGTATGTGCGTGTGTGTGTAATACCTTCGCGAACGGCGTATTGCAGTCTTAGGTACAAGCTGCCATATAATATTACAGAATTTGCTTGTGTGTACTGCGAGGCGAATAGTACGAGCGCGTATGCAAAGGCCCCGAAACAAATTTCTAGTCGTAAAAAACGGGTTGGCACCCGCCCGTAGCATGGCCGCACCAGCGTGGTTCAGAGATAATGTTATTAAAATATTATTAAGTTTTTATTAAAACACCGCTTACTCGACGTTACAAACCGCTTACATTATATGTTTAATATATTGTGTGTGAGTAAATATATACAGCCGTCTGCATGTTATATGGGCGAGTGTACCTATATTATTATATACACGACCGTACGATATGTATGCGCATAATAGATAATATTGTAATTTATAATAATCTTATATAACAAAATATATTATAAATATTTATAATATCGTTGATGGTTCGTGGAAAAATCGGTATGATACAATCCTCGTTAGTCGTTTTGCTGAAAACCTTCGGATCAAATATTCAAATATGTAGGTACACGTAAACGTTTATTATTATATTTTTTAATAAACGTATCATTAAAAAGTAGTTTATTTATTTTCCAAGAATAAGTTCACTAAGAGAACGCATTTATTTGTAGCTATCGAAAAGTTCAACAAAGGACGTCATCGAATAAAAATAAATAAAAATAAATGACGTGAGACAAAAATAGGTACTATATGTACATTTTAAACATTATACGTCATTATTACACAATACTAATTACAAATAAATAGATAATATATAATTAAATATTCACACAGTATAGAAGTCTCTTTACATAAAAAGTGTTTGAAATGTATTGATTAAAAATCTTTATGTTATTACAGAGGGCGCAGGTATTTGTCTTACAAGTCCATATCAAAATAAATGTATACATCAAGTGTTCGTAAGTCACGTTAAGCTTTGTTAGTTTAAAAATTAGATTGAATCGACCTATTCTAAAACTTGATAGTAAGAATATTATCTGCTGTGTTTGTATGTGGGTTTTTTTACTTTAATTTTTAAGTTTCACGTAAGTATATAATATAGTGGAAATTAAAAAAGATCATAATTCACTTAAAAATTAAATTTGAAAAAACCACACTTAAACACAGATAATGTTCTTACCTCAAGTTTCATTATAGGTCGATTCACTCTAATTTTTTTAATTTAAGAAGCTAAACATGATCTCCTGAGAGTAAATTTGGTATGTTACCCACTTTTAAGACGGATACAACAAATGTCTCTGTAGTGTCTTCTTAATTGTTTATCTATTAGCTGGTAATTATTATTAGTCGTATATATTATTAAAGGACTGTAGACACAAGGGGGAGAGGGTTCAAACCCCCTTAAAAGTTTTAACATGGAAAGTATTTAAATGTATTTATTAACTGTTATATGATACCCCCCCCTTCTTATAAATTCCTGTCTACTGCACTGTTTAGTTAAACATTATAAATTATAACAGATGAATGAATGTCGAATGATGATTGTTTCATTTTAATCAGATCTCTTTCGAGTACAATTATTCACAATATAGAATAAAAAATGTCATTTATACTTTTTCTACAAATAGATCATAACTCAAAATGTCTTCTATTGTATAATATTAGATATTAGTTATAATATATTGATCGTTTTACTATCAATAGAAGTACAATTATATCACTGTTTTGTTTTTAAATTACATCCTCATTAGTTTTTGATTATATTTTTCATAAATTAGACATATACTAATTATTAGGCATTCGTTAAATTGAAGCTAATAATATTTTAAGTAATGATGTTGTCATCAAAGAATTTGCTAACAATTAAGATACCTAGTTTTCAACAATAACATGTGTTTGACATATTTTATTTTATAGATGTCACATTCTCACTTAAGTAGCTACTGTTAACAGTTCATATTAGCATTAACAATTTAACAGCACATAATTAATGTACTTTTTCCTCGCAAAATAAATGTGATTGTGTACTTAAATACGTTTAAATACGTAGTTAATATATACTTAATACTTATATTTACAGATAACAATAATTTTAGTATAATGTTTTAAATGTTTTAAGTGTAGTACCTAATACATATACAATTAATTCGAAACAAATTGTTTCAAATACATTTATTAAGCATAAAAAACAATATACGGTTATCCTATACAATGTAGATAAGTTCATGATATCATGTCAAATTAAAATAACTTCATCTTCACTATAACTAATTCATTTTTGTAAAATATATATGAATTATTGATTATACAATAAATTATGATTTTATATTTAAGTACTTTCTTATTTCTGTACCTGCAGAATCATTGAACTGTCCATAAAAATATTCAATATTTATTAAACAGAGTTTATGAATAAAGTTGAGATAAATAAACACGTATACAATGTGATTTAATAATATTTGTACATAGTTGATAGTTGTTACTTTATGTCTACTGGCTACTAGATTCACCTATAACTCAGGCCTATGATTTGATTGCCTTTAAAAACATTATTATGCTTATAGTTTTATAGTTTATACAAATCAAACATTCAAACGTACACCCGTCACCGTATAAATCGTGTTACGTTGCACCCCTAATGAGATGAAAAAATAGTACGTTGATCAATGAGTTAGAGGAGTTTAAATGATTTATGATCACTTATGAATGATCAAATGATGCTTTCACACATGGACATTTTACGTATAGAAATAACCAGTCTACTTTTGATTATTATGAGTCGTAGAAGAGTAGTAGAAGAGTTGTAAGTATGTTGGTACCTAATAAAATACAGTTTTTTTTACTAAAAAAAAAAAATAATATTGTTATTTTCAGGCTCTCTGATTTATTCACCTACCTATAAGACATAGTTATTGATGGGTCATTGTCAATCT